GTGATTTGTATTTTTTTTTGTTTTATTTTATGTAAAATGCGAATAGTGTATGAGAATAAGATCTTATTATATTTGTTCATTTATCTGAAAGGACAGACTAGATCAAAATCGACGATTGCGAATCATGAAATTAAGACACTTGCTCTACTTTGCTTTACATAACACATTTTTTCTTACTAGAAACATCTGGAAGCAAGTTTTAGATGAAATTCGGTTATTCGCGGCCATTGACCTGTCTAATCTAGCTAAGACTTGATTTGCGAAATGGTAAAAGTATCGATTATCCGTAATTAGGTTTTATTTAACTCAGTCATACTCAAAATACATATTCATACAAAAATAAATAATTAGTAAACTTATATTATATACTTTTCTTTTAGGTAAAAATATTTAGCATTTTTAATTTTAACCAAATAAAAGATAGATAATTTCAAAGTAAACTGTTAAACAATAATATTAAAAATGTCATACCATAGGTATTTCTATTGAAAGTAAATTTTGAGAAATGATCTTTCACTCTACCAGAAATTGGGCTGCGGCAACGATAACTGATAATGACTCATATTTTACGTAATATTATTACGGTAAAACGCATAAGATAGATGGAGCTCTGAACGACAATGGTTAATATGTTATAAATGATATTATAATTTCTCCTGAAGCGTTCCCAGACCGATAAAAATTCAAAAACTATAGATTCGGTCTCTGTATCGATAATAATGACTATCTACTAAGTATTTAGTATTTCAATAAGATTTGCTCAAGGGGACAATTTATAGGTAGGTACATCATCTAGCCACAGGCAGCGGCAGAATTGTTTCCAGAGGGTTGCATCTGCTTGTTCACATTAAACTACTAACTGGAAATAATTACCTTAATAATTTTTATTCATATGTTACTTAATTATCATGTTTTTTCGCAGATATCTGAATTTAAACAGGGATTTTATTCATACAATTTTGTTTCTTATAGTTTTTCTATATATTTTCCTTCACGACAGGGAGGTGTAAGTGCACCCCCCCCCCCTGCACCCTCTCCCGAAGCCCATGCACATCATCAATCATAATATGCAGCTCTGCATAGACCTCACATTGCAACCCTTTTGACGACAATTATCAACGTCAAAATTAACACTATTTAACCTATAGAATTATAAAATAACTAGAGCAACAGCTAAAAAGCACTACATAATTGTTATCTGTTAATCCATATACCATACTAATATTATAAATGTGGAAGTGTGATTGTTTGTTTGTCCTTCTTTCACGTCGACACACGACGAAAACGTGACGAAACAGAGTTATGTGTGGAGATAGTTGGAGGGCTGGAGCCTGGAGAGTGACATAGGCTGCTTTTTACCGCAAGAGACTATCCTATTCTCACGGAGAAACACGTAATATACAACCCACAACAACTCATCATATCTATATTCCATGCTGACCGTTAAAAATTATAACTACCTAGTGACGAAACCGAGGGAAGCGACGTTGAGTCGCTAGTATTCTATACTTTTTTGTTGTTTTTTATTCGCTATTTTTAAATAATTTTAGCAAACGGCTCAGTTTTAGAAAATTTTAGCTTTTGAAACGACACTCTAGTGGATGAAACTACACATGGTGCAAGATTTTAATTTGGATAATAGTCCGGAGCGCCTATATACAATGAAAGCGTGCAAAAATGCATCGCCGCGCCGGCGAGTGACGTGCTATGTAATACACTACGACTGACGAGGAGGGCTGCCAAGTTAGATTGTATATTAAATAATAAAAGATTCTTCTAGATAAAAAATAAAAATACTTACAACAACTAATTAAAATCTGACGAGGTTACAGACAAGATCCCAAATACAAGAACCTTATAGGAAAAACCTCAAACTATAGAATTAATCATCATACCAAATTTCATCAAAATCTGTCCAGTGATTTTCTCCAGATGCGTTCCCAGGCAGACAAACAAAAATTCTAAAAACTATAGTTTCGACCTCTATTTTATAGGTACCTATATTATTATTTTTTGAAGTAAGAGCTTTTATATTAGCTAAGAGTGTCAATATATATACCTAGAAGGACACATTACACGAGGCAAATATTTAAATTAGCTATATATACCTAACCATGACAGAACGGCGAACTAAAACCAAAGGGTTTGTGAATACCCATCAACGAAATTTCTAAAACAATGGCTCAATAACTAAAATGGAAGTAAAATCAATCAATCAAAGATATCTATCTACCAAAGATAGTTCATTTCTCTGCAAAAGAAAAAAACATGAACTTAAGGAAATATTATTTAACACTATTATGACGATATGATAAGCCAAGAACATCTCTGTATCGATAGAGCGCGGGGGCGGCGGCGCCGCGGGTATTTTTACTAGTGACGCTCGACGCGACTTCGCGCATGTACATGCGGCGTACACCCACTAAACTTACGATTCTAATTGTATTCAAAATATATTTAACGTTTAGTATAGATTTCTCAGAGATAAGATATTTTCCCGCAGTAAAATGTATCCTATAGGTTGACCCGGATAACCAGCTATCGTCATAACAAATTTCGTCAAAATCTGTCGTGGTTTTCTCATGATGCGGTCACAGACACACAGACAGGCAAAAATTCTAAAATTATAGATTTAGCCTCTGCATCGATAATAATAATGACTACATATTAATAAGATTTTCCAAAAAATATTTAATGTACAGATTCGGCTTAGTTAGAATTTTATTAGGTATATGTATAGATAAAAATAAATCAATATTAATTTAAATAATAATATATTAAAAAATAGGTAAATAAAATGGTTAAAAAACATAGTTTATCTATTCATCGTTGTTCCTCATTATAACTTAATGATACCCGATAGTTCAATATTCATTTATTACAATTTCAAAATTCATGCCATAAATTTTCATTAGAAAACTAGGTTTAATTTAAAATTGTTTATATACATATGTAAATTTTCGTATACAAACATAAATAGAGCATTGTGTTGTTTACAAAACTGTACATCGGTCAAATGGCCATCAGTTTAATTTGCACATAAGCAAGCACGTCAAAAATTTCCATGTCTGTTTAGCATGGCTGAATATCATTGATATAAGTATGTAGGTAGGACTTACATTGCTTATTCAAGACATGAGTATTAATTATTAAAAGGGCTTAATAATCAATACTCACGCCATTATATTATGGTTTAAAGTTTAAACCTTAATAGAGTATTTGCTCTATTCAAAAAATCACATCTATATAACCGTTCGTGAAATGACAAACCAAAAAACACTTACGCATTAATTTTAGTAACAATTTTATGTATCCATAAAGATCTTTATGTTAAAGTTTGATTTAAAAAAAAACCATAATTTTCAATATAACTTGAGCAGTTCACTTATTATCTATATATATAAAAGAAAGTCGTGTTAGTTACTTCGCTTATAACTCAAGAACGGCTGAACCGATTTAGCTGAAAATTGGCAGGGAGGTAGTTTAGAGCCGACCGCGTTCCAATTTTTATGATATTTTAATTTTTGGATTTCTCTTAGTCCGGAATAGGTAAGTATTAAAACATATAATTAAAATGTGAGAAAGAAAGATTTTTTCATAACTCAAGAACGGCTGAACCGATTTAGCTGAAAATTGGCAAATTTTTGGATTTCTCTTAGTCCGGAATAGGTAAGTATTAAAACATATAATTAAAATGTGAGAAAGAAAGATTTTTTCTTTTTATATCTATTTAAAACGTACCTAGCGACGAACCCGAGCGAAGCGAGGGTGAGCCGCTAGTCTTATTATATATTTGTATTATCGTCAATTTCATGGCCGCCTCCTCTCCAAGGTCCGAACCCGTGCCAACGGATGACGCCACCATAATTCTCATACAGCTGGTATACACTAAATAGCTATTATGTGAAATTAAGTGATGTGACTTTGCCAATTTTATAGGCTTAATTTTTAGATTATTTTTATTTATGTAATAAAAAATCTTAAAAAAAATTAAGTTGTTACCTAATAAAAAGTTCAATGACATCAATATAAATCTCGTTTATAGAAAAAATAATTACATTGCATCTAAAACTGTCTCAGATATAAACTATCAAAAATTTAATTATCATTCAATAGCAATAATTTTATATTATATAGGGGAAGCCCAACTATCAGTTATAAAAACCTATATAAATAAATATGTAAATTAAGATTTGTATTTGACATTTCTAGTCCCGTTAGAAGTTATTTTCAGATTTGCTGTTAGAAATGTCTGCTCTTGATTAAATTTTAGTTCTATTTTTACACAGCTATTTTCAAACGTATTCTAAAATAACTCAAAAAGATTAACACAGCAAATTAATAAAACGGTGTAAATGAATTAAAAGATATATACAAGGGGATAAAAATTAAAAACCATATATATTTGAATCTTTTATTTATTGCATTAACAGTAATTATAAGTGATAAGTTCTGTCAGAATACATCTACGAGTCAAATTTGAAGTCCAACTTCTCTAATCTATTATATAGCAATTGTCAAGTTTTATTTTAGGGAATTTTAGCCGCAACCTAAAACTTACAATCACTGCCATTAATATTTACATAATATTTACATCTTACAAAATTAAATACATTCAAGTCACACTAGCCTCTCATACTAAAACGCATGGAAGACTCGCAAACACACATGGTTGACTGGACAAATCAATAAATAACTCAATACAATTTCTTCTTCATGGTCTTACGGTTCTCGGGCAATTAAAGAACCTGTCATATCCTTTTACGTGATATTACATATTTGCGAGGAAACAATAACTTGCTAACTAATTTTAGAATAAATTTAAAGCTAAATCAAAATCTGCTTGATTATTAAACAATTAAATGTATCAGCTAACAAGTTGAGACTTCCACTCGACAAATTAAAATCCTAAAGGGAATGTCCCATCGAACTTTTGAGCAGTCCTTAACCTGAAGGTCTGAAGAGTACTCTGTTGCTAATGAGATTTCCAATACACATTAATTTGGTAGAGTATCCATTAATATCTCCTTGACACCAGTACTTAGACGGTCAGGGAATTTAATGTCAAATGCAACTAGCAGGTCACCTTTCCTTGTTGGTTCCTTGGGGAATGGAAGACCATATCCTGGGAATCTCTTCACTGTGTAGGGCTTCACCACTTCACCTTGAAGGTTAACTGTTATCTTCTCACCAGACATTGTTGGTACTTCAATGATGGTCCCACAAAGAGCCTGCAAAAGAACATTTAAGATTAGATATACTTGTCATACATAAAACTGTATCATCTAAAGATGTTTCTAGACTAATCAAATAAACTCAGTTCAAAATTACCCAAGTGTTTAATATGACTCATCAATCCTTCACTAGTATTAAACTGAATAAACTAATTCAATATGTTTATAATAATAAATTTTCAATAGAATGTTTTTAAAAACAATGTAAACAAGAAATGGAAATATGTAATAAATAAATAATCACATCAATATTTTAAAGCTTACCTGCTTAAGTGAAATCTTGGCTGTGTATCTGATGTCACTGCCCTCCCTCTTGAATTGTGGGTTTGGTTTGTCTCTGATTATGAACACAATGTCCGCTGGGATCTTATTTCGGCCTTGGTCTCCTTCCTTCTGGAACGTGATCTTCGTACCAGCCTTCCAACCGGGTTTCACGTGGATGGTCAAAACCTTATCCTCCTTCTTAGATCCACCATCTGGTTGCATAACCCTTCGTGAAATCTTCATCTTTTTGACACAACCACGCGCGATATCTTCAAGTGACACGTACAAATCGTGCTCTATTGGTGGGTCTTGCGTCTTCTCTTTCCGGTTTGGTGATCCGTGGAAGTTGAAGCTGTGACTCCTGAACGCTCCACCGGGTCCACCAGGTCTTGCTGTTCCCATTCCCATGTTGGCGAAGGGATCCATATCAACATCCATGTCGCGGTCAAAGAACATTGTAGTGCCACTTGTGCCGTTCAAGTCGAAGAAAGCCTGGAAGGGACTCGCTGATCCAAAGAACTGTGCGAAGGTCGCCCTTGGGTCTCCATGGAACGTGTACGAGTATGACTGGCCGCCACCTGGTCCGTTCTGACCACCCATTCCTCCCTTCAGGCCCTCTTCGCCATGAGCATCGTAGATTTCGCGCTTCTTCTTATCCGACAACACCTCGTAAGCTTCTGCCACTTCCTTGAATCTCTCTTCCGCACCAGCGGATTTATTTTTGTCCGGATGGTATTTCAGGGCTAATTTCCGATACGCCTTTTTGATCTCGTCATCTGTCGCACCTTTCGCAATTCCTAAGATTTTGTAGTAATCCTTTCCCATTTTGACTTATAAATTATCCTGTAACAAAGAAATAATTCCCGTTAGTTTTGTCTGGCACCATTTTTGGAGACGTAGACTGATGATCCGTGCAATTCTACACGGCTTCCAGAAGATCTTTCTTTTCCAAATTTTACACAATTGAAAGAAAATTGTTTTTCGTGCAATATATCTCTAAATATATACTTACAATTGGAGTTTTAATGTGAAATCCACTAATAACTAGCTGAAAGTGTATAATATCCACACACAACACACCTCACAAATTCACACTATCTACTTCACAAGTTCACAAATGAATGAAACGTAGCGCTGTCGTCGCGGCAAAATATATACATTAAAACATCTAGAACATTCTGGGGCCTTCACTTCATGTGAAAGGGAGAAACAAGATAAATGACAATATTCAAGTACATGAGATAGAAAGAGATAAATATAAATTTAGTTGTTCAATTTAGACGAAGTTTCGAGAGTAGACTTGACGTCGCGTTTGAAAACGGCCTGTTTTCTTTTATCGTTTAATCAATATGGGGCTTTGTTTGTATTCTTTTCAACCAATCAGAAACGAGAACACAAATATGAACCAATAACAAAAAAGATTTTCGAAATAGAAACCAATAGATTTTTTTCAAATTAATATTTATATAATTTAATATGGACATTGAAAACTGAAATATTATGAGTGACGTACATTTCAGACGAAGAAAGGGATGGTAAGGAAATGTTAATGATCGAGTTTACACAAAAAGTACATGTATTCAGTATTTTAATGCTTATGTCCATGACATAAAGTATAATTTACATTGAACTTAAAAAACGGATTTTTGTGTATTGTGGTATGTACATGGAAAATCAGAAATGTAGTATTCATGTCTATAAAATTGCTTTACATTATTAAAGTCCTAAATGGTGTAATTACTCAACATGTGCTAATTTTAATATTTTTTAATGTATTACAAAAACCTCATAACAAATTCATTGTATTTTTGGTTTTATTTTGAGACTGAAATGCATTTACGTCGCACTGCAATGATATAAGTAGGTACCTACCTAATAAAATTTCTCCATATAATTCGACTATCATCAGACACGTGATTGTGAATGATAAATAAATAGTATGTGGGTCAAGAAATAGCAGCTCACGTGTTTAACGTTCTAGATATTTTCGCAAGGCGCAAAATCAAGACTGGTTTTTAAAGCTAGTTTGCTAATTGGTTTTAATTAATACATTAAATTAATCTATATTTTGTAATTATAAATGCATTAAAGCTCAATTATATGGATAGTTTTATTTAGTGAGTAGGTATTTAAAATATTTTTCATTCAGTTCCCGTTATTTACTAATTACTAACGCACAGCATTTGCAGTAGGTACCTATTTAGAACGTCTAGCTGATAAAAATTATACTTACTAATTTAATTTTAATTATATTATAATGTTAATCATTTTCGTTAGAATTATATAGGTAAGTACTTATCTGATAATAGGTACCAAGGATATCGTAATGGTCAACAGACAGGCATTTATTTATTGCATTATTTTCAAACTAACATATTATTTTCCATCAATGTATTTTCCATGAATACTACATACATAAAAAACAAATATGTAACATAAAAATATAACATTAAAACATTTTATTATTTATTAATATCTAGCGACACCCTAGCTTGCTCGGGTTCGTCTATAGGTTGATTTCTCATACAAACTTTCATCCCCAAGGATTGATTCCTTCACAAGGGATGATTTCCGGGATAAATGCTATCCTATGTCCTTCCCAGGGTCTTAAACTATCTTCTTACCAAATTTCATCTCAATCGGTTCAGTAGATACAGAGATTACCCCCTACAACGTCACAAACTCATAAACTTTACCTCTTTATAATATTAGTTACATTAGCGACGCGTCGCTTCGCTTCGTTCATCCCTAGACAGAAACAAATCTATTCCACGGGAACCGTACACTTTTTCGGGATAAAAAGTAACCTATGTGCTATTCCAGACTATCTTTGTGCCAAATTTTATCCAGATTCGATTAGCCGTTCTGACGTGAACGAGTAACAAACATCCGTTTATGGATGTATAGATCCTCACAATCTTTCACATTTTTAATATTAAGAAAGGTGATCGTTGAAGTCCTCTTGAATTTTCTAGCACATTCTTTACGTATTCAACCTAGCAATGTATGTATGTATTTTAAATCAAGTGAATACAAATAATTATAAATGGACCCAGTCCTAAAATAAAAATTTAACATGCAAATATATTTGTTTTTAATAATGATCGTTTAAAGAACTCTCTAGAATGTTCTAGCGTATTCTATACATATAACATAAGAACAAAGGAGTGTGTATTACAGTATGGTACTTATTATTTCTTCGCATTTAAAGAATTGAATTTTATTTCTCTTATATGTAACACATAATAATGTACATGATATTTAAATCAGTATAAAATTATTATGTACAATAGTTTTACACCCTTTCTTTAAAAAAAGATTAGGGAAAAATGTTGCTAGCTCTTCTTATTTTCCCATGTACTGCGGAATTTATATCAATTTATATATTTTATTCATTTATTTATTATTAACACTAATTACAATAATTAGAGACTTGATTCGAATTGATAATTAAAACAATAAGTACTTGTGGTGAAAAATCCTATATATGTATATTTTGACAAAACATATTATTAAAATATAACAAATAAGGGTAATTTAAGAAATTCTTAAAGACTATTTATAATGTCTTATAAGAGAAAGGCGCTGTATTACTGAATTATTATTATTTATTACCATTTAGGGATGTATATAAAAAAATATGTTTATGCATAATTGGCAGTAGATTCCCTAGTCCCTACCAGCTTAAGACGATGATTAACTGATAAAGTCACATAATGATTATAAACATACATACAAATATTACCTACTAGCGACTCAAATCCGAACGAAGCGAGGATGAGTCCCTAGGTGATTCTTTAAATTGATATAACTTTTTTATTTATGAACCGATTTAAATACAACAAATACTAAATGTTAAATGAAACTTACCATAATACATAAATGAAAATCGCAGCCAAATCGGTTACACTGTTTCTGAGATTAGCACGCACAAACGCACAGACAAACGGACAAAAGTTCTAAAAATAATTGTTTTGGGTACTATTGTGTGAATAAAGATCCCCAGGGCACCAATAATAGTTTTTCTCAAATATCTTCCATGTACAGACAGCGATCAGTTACACTTATAATATGTATAGGTATAAAATATCTACAAACGATAAAGTAGGTAATTAGATAAAGTACTGTTGCAACTAGGAAGTTTCCAAAATAGTCACGAGAGGAATTGTATCATTACTATTGGTTTTATAAATTATCTTAGGCGCCATTATATAACAATTTATACGAACGAGGGTGAATCGCTAATGTTGAATAACATCAAAAAATCATATAACTATTATATAGTACTCAGCGATCTATATTATGTGCTTCGTACGTATGTATATAAGTCAATGGTAGTAACACCCGATACTTTTGAACAAACACAACATAATTATTAAAAAGATCGGTAAATGTATACCCAGAGACAGATTTATGTAGTACTAGCAGAACCCGCGGCTTCGCTCGCTCTAAAACTACAAAAAAGCTCTAAAAAGGTAGGTTTCATATAAACTTCATCCCCTATTTTGCCCCCTTATGGGATAAATTTCAAAAAATGCTAAAAAAATTATTTATTCATTTGTATTGAAGAACATTAATAACAAGTTTCAAGTAATTCTGAACATAAATAATTTTTCGGGTTGTATTATAACGTGTTTTCCCGTGGAAATGAGATAATCTTCCGCGGTAAAAAGTAGCCTATGTCACTCTCCAGCCCTCCAACTATACCCTACAACTCCCTAAAATGGTAAAACTTCTGTCTTGGTAAATCAAAACGCATAATAAAACTCCCTAAAATAGCAACACTTATGACAAAATTACGTCAAAAGCAATAAAATAGTGCAGAATTGAGGTTATATTTATCAAACTTTGATATTTTTTATTTCCGAAAGTGTTTGATTCCTCCACTTGAGACTTTGTGGAATTACTCAAGATAATAAGCACCTACTTTGCACAAAAAAAATATCAAACCGGTATATTTAAGTTGAGCCTAGATATTATTAGGTATAGATGTCTTGTACTTGTACTTTCAGTTATACTCATAGATAGATAATATTTATGTTCAATGACAACTTTAAACTTTGAATCGACATTTCAATATCCAGGATAAAAATACTTATTAAATATTATTTAAAATATTACTATTTAATTAAAATTAAAACAAAATCGAAATTTATGAACGGGCAGCATATTTGACAGATTTGAGACACTGACGTTTGACAGTGACTGAGGCGAAAACATGAACATGATTTATGACAAAATGTAAATACTGTAATTGCTCATAATTCATATTGATTTATTTATGAAGCTGTTGTTGAAGTAGCAATAGCTATAGCATACTTTGGATCGTGAACATTTGGCTTTTGACTAAAGTAAAAGACAGTTGTGTTATTATCGTTTATTTATCGAACTAATCTCAGGAACAGTGCATGTCGACATCCTTTATAATCGATATCAAAGTATTTTTCGTAGAAATCTTGAATTAACTCTTCAACCTGTGAACAAAAATGGCAAATGATATATTACAGGTCAAATGTGATATATGTGCAGATATAGCCCATGAACCTTACATAGAATGTTGTGAATGTGATTTTAGTTTATGTTGTTCATGTTTCGCATCAGGAAGGGAGAAAGGCGACCACAAAAATTATCACAAGTATGCGTTACGGAGAAATGATTTTCCGCTTTTCGAAAATTGTAATTGGTCTGCTAAAGAAGAATGTAAGCTTTTGTCAGCTTTATCCACATTTGGCTATGGAAATTGGGAAGATATATCGAAAACTGTCCACACGCGTACGAAACTTGAGTGCCAAGAGCATTACAAAAAATATTATATAGAGAAAGTACAATATGATGAGCTAAAGTTGATTCCTGAAACTGATCAGTCTTTATTTCCGAAACCTTTGACACCATATTTATATAACACAGAATTAAGTATAAACCCACCGAGAAATAATCAGTCAGATCAACAATTAGCAGGTTATAGTGCTTATAGATCTGAGTTTGAACTGAGCTATGATCACAACGCTGAGAGTATATTTAATATTGAAGATAATTATTCAGATGATGAAGACGATGAATGTATGGATGCATTAAAAATTAGTTTAGTCAATGCACTCAATACAAGATTAAGGGAGAGGCGGCGTAGATACAAAGTTATACAGAATCATGGTCTTATCATGGTAAATAAACTTATTTCATGGTTACAAAGGTTTGATATGACATTATCAAGATCAAAGTCAGAAAGATTACTGACATTTATGCAATTTATGAGAGGAATACAATTTGATGCATTTATAGAGTCTTTACATTTAGAGGATGAATTGTTAAGTAAATTAGTCAGATTGTGCGAGTTCCGTAGAAATGGTATAAAAACATTACATTCGGCAAAGTTATTTATGTATTTGAAGAAAGAAAATGATTTGACTATTAAAGAACAAAAGCAAGCCACAACTGTGATGATGAAGAAATTTGAAAGTCAGTCCCCAGTTAAGCACAAGTTAGTTTTTGGTAATACGGGCAAAAGATTGAGAACGCAGTCAGTGCCTCTAGATATAGTTGATTTACCAGGATTCCACCTTCTTTCAGACAGTGAAAGAATTTTGTGCTCTAATTTAAGACTTATACCAAGAAACTACATCGATATTAAAAATTTATTAATAGCCGAAAACAATAAATTAGGTTTTTTGAGATTATTAGATGCCCGTCGCATTCTTAAGATAGATGTGAATAAAACAAGGAAGATATATGATTTTCTTTTGTCTGAAGGTTTTGTATGTAAACCCTAAAATAAAGTTTTTTTATATACAAACATATTTTGTTTTTTACATATATTATATATTCAATTTTACAGATAAATAAAAAAATGAAAAGGCATACTTGTGGTGTTGTGATTATATGATTTAATGTCATTTTTATAGTGTTCGCCTAACTTAGAAAATAATAATAAGCCATATCTAGGGACGTAGCCATAATTTTATTAACATTCAAGCTATATTAAGTTCTTCTCCTGTTCCAAAATAAAAATATAATTCTGATAATATTTATTCTAATAATCTATACTATAATAAAACAATAGAAGTCGAATGTCTTTACATAGCAAAAAAAATGCTAAAAACCGAGTCAGGGGGATGTAAGAAGACAAATAGAACAAATCCAGATTTTTTTCAATTTTTTTTGTTTCTCTGTCTGTTTGTCTTTTTGTACGGGCTAATCTCCGAATCTATTAGACCGATTTAAATGAAATTTTGCATGGGGATAACTTATATCCCTGGGCAACATCTTACTTACATATACTTTTTATCCTGGAAAATTAAATAGTTCCCGTGGGTAGTTAAAAAACTATAATAACTTATACAGCTTAGTACACAAAAGCTACTGATGGGATTTTAATAAAACTTTACAAAATATAGTACATACATGACAATAATAAATCGGCTACTTTTGATCCCGGAAAATTAAAGGGTTCCCGTGGGACAGTCATAAAACTATAGTAACTTATAAAGCTTAGTACACAAAAACTACTTATTGGATTTTGATGAAACTTTACAATAATATAGGTCATACATCAGAACTAAACTGCCTCGGTGGTGTAGTGGCTAGCATGTACGGCTGCACACCCGGAGGTCCTGGGTTCGAGTCCCGGGTCGGGCCAAGTTTAGTTATTGAGTCTTCCTGTATAGTAAGTCTCAGTAACAGCCCGGAGTTGGGAAGTTGGCGGTGTTTCACCCCCGTGCCTCGGAGAGCACGTAAAGCTGTCGGTCCTGCGCCTTAACTCTCACCGGTCGTGTCGAGTGGTCGTCCCACCGGAGTATGAGAGTGATAGGAATAGAGAGTGCACTTGTGTCTGCGCGTACACTTGAGCACTATAATATCTCCTGCGCAGTTGGCTAATCTCATTGAGATTGGCCGCCGTGGTCGGAATCGGCTAGGAGAACATCATCATCATCACATCAGAATAACAAATAGGTTACTTTATATCCCGGGAAAATGTACGGTTCCTGTGGGATAGATGTTTTCGTTTATTTGTAACGAATTGTGTACACAACATAGACCCCAAAACAATAGTTATTAATAAAATTGTCTGTTTGCCTGTATGTCTCTCTGTTTTTGATTGCGCGTTTCACGCGAAAAGTTATGAACCGATTTCAACGAAATTTGGTGAAGTGATAACTACTCGAGTCAACGTTTAGGATACCTTTTACTTCAAGAGAATATTTCTTTCTCACGGGAAGATACAATAACTGGTTTTATCGAGTCCTCCCTAGAAACCTTCCGCTGGCTAAGCCTTAAAACACACATACATCAAAACAATATGCTAAAAAATTGTAGGTCTTAAAAAGTCCTACAGGAAAGTTCTAAATGGTATATATATATATATATATATATATATATATATATATATTAATATATATATATATATATATATCTCCCAAGCAATATTCTTATCTATACCTATAATAAAACTAACTTAGTCTCGATGTGCGCGTTTCACGCAAAAAGTACTGAACCGATTTTAACTAAATTTTGTATAGTGATAACTTAGTACTCGGGTCAACATTTAGGATACCTTTTACAACAGGAAAATTATTCATTCCCACGGGAAAACACAATAACTGGTTCTATCGAATGGTCCTTAGAAATTTATATGGCTAACGCTGGCTCAACCTTAAGAGATAGATCAAAACATTGTACAAGAAAATTGTAAGTCTTAAAAAGGTCAACGGAAAAGTTCTCAATAGTATATGTCTATCTCCTAAGGTACATTCGCTATAACTATTTTCATTATTATATATTACTGTTTTATTATACGTTAATTATTGTATCTATAAATATAATAAAACTGTAGAGGTCGAATGTCTGTACATAGAAAAAAAATGCTAAAAAGTAAAAACCGAGTCAGTTATCTTCTTACACCCCTTAAGAAGAAAAATAGAACAAATCCGGATTTTTTTCAATTTTTTTGTTTCTGTGTCTCTTTGTACGGGCTAATCTCCGAAATTCGCATGGTCGTACCCACAGAAATCTTAATAATAAGCTAATAGAAGTGGCATAGACGCGTGACCTTGTCGCCGCGCATGTGACTCGTAGGTCACAAGCGCGTGTAAAGCGTTTGTTGCGGTAACTAGTGTTATTTGAGACACGGAGAGGTAAACATGGTGTTTTGCAGCTTATCCAACTGCGGAAATTCTTCTACAATTTGTAACTTTACAAATAAAGGGATAACATTTCATATATAAGTACTTAATTTTTGAAATAATGTCGTTTTTAAGAAATATAGCCAAATCAAATGTTTTCACCACCACTACTACGATTATCGCAGGAAAACGTTTTTTTTTCAATTCAATAACCATTACCACTTAAGCTTGTTCATGTCTACTATTACAACTGCTAAAAGCAGCAATGAAATAATAGTCATGCGTAAAGAACAATATTGTCGCGTACGTAAATTTCAAGGACACGCCGCATAAGTTGACCGCGAATTAGTGACGTGCCACCACTATTTTTTATCGAAAATTTATTACGTTTGGCTTAATATTTTTCGTTAAATATTTAATTGTTACATCTCATTATGTATGTTTTCTTTCTGTCTGAATAATTTAAAAAAGTCATTTATCAACGATTATCTGTAAATTCGTACTTTTAAACTATTTTTTCATTCAGAAAATTATTAGGAGGTAGGCTTATTATTGTTATGTATATGGGTAAGTCAAAAACAGTATGCGTTGAATATCCTTGTATCGTTGACATGTTCCGCATTTACCAAATTTTTTTTTTGATTTGATTTGATTGAGTAAATAATTCTAAGGGCGAGTTGTTTGATAAACATAACATAGAAATTCTATAAAAAAATTTAAGTCATTGTTAAAAATGTATAGGATTTTAACAAATAGTTTGCATAACTTTTGTATAATAATAATAATAATCATATTTATTGCAAAGGTATACACCCAATTTAGAATATAATAACATATATGTAGTTATACAAGTCAATTTTTATATCACTTATGCATATATATGCAAGTCAATAAAAACATTATCAAAACAAAATTCAGTCAGACTCTTCATTAAATTAAACTAGAATTAAAAACAATATATCGCTGTTGAGTATATAGTAGCTGTTGAGTGTATAACTATATAATAATAAAAAAAATTACTTACTTTTAACGTTTTATTGTATTCCCTTTATGAAAATCAATAAATCGTCTAAAATCGCGTCGAGGAATGAAACTTAAAACACTTTCAATAAATTAGTTACCTATTGTTGCACGACTCAACGGAAAATTTATCGATATGAGCATTATGCGCTTTGTGCTGCACTAGAAGTGAGCGCGCGATATCATTCTGTGCTTTTCGCACACGTTTATTATTGGTCACAGGGATCACGGGTTCTGAGATTATGCGTTTTTAGAAAATATTGCGTAATGTCATCCTCTTAAAGTTTAATTTTTGTTGCAACAATGCAAAATGCATGTGTGAGCGATAGTGTGTATTTATTGTTTGTCAATGTGTTGGTAGCTGCAAGCCGGCGACACGCGTCCCAGTACTAAAAGACCGCAATGGCATTTCTATTACCTTATTATTAAGATTTCTGTGGTCGTACCTTATATCCCCGGTAAACATGTAAGATACTTTTCATTCCGGAAAATTAAAGAGTTCCCGTGGGATAGTTAAAAAACTATAGTAACTTATACAGCTTAGTACACAACAACTTATGCACCTAATTTAGTAAAATTTGGCATGCTGATACCTTATATTGCCGATCAAACAACAGGTTACTTTCCATCCCGGAAAAATTAACGGTTTCCGTGGGATAGATCTGTTTTTATATGTTTGTAACGTATTATGTACACCACAATATAGACCCCAAAACAATAGTTATTAAAAATTTTGTCTGTTTGCCTGTATGTATGTTTGTCAGTTTGTCTGTTTGTATGTTTGTACGGGCTAATCTCCGAAACTTTTGGACTGATTTAGAAATTTTGCATGGTGGTACCTTATATCCCCGGTCAACATCTTAGATACTTTTCATCCCAGAAAATTAAAGAGTTCCAGTGGGATAGTTAAAAAACTATAGTATCTTATACAGCTTAGTACACGACAACTTATGCACCTAATTTAGTAAAATTTAACATTCTGATACCTTATATTGCCGGTCAAACAACAGGTTACTTTTCATACCGGAAGTATGAACGGTAATAGATCTGTATTAGTGTTTTTCTAAAGGCGAACACGAGCGAAGCGAGGGTGAGCCGCTAGTATATTCTAAATATATATTTCATTCATGTTTTCAAATGTAATTAAAAAATTGTTATATAAGCAAATAGTTCAGTTAATGGATAGGTGGAAAATTCAGATATATATATATATATATATATATATATATATATATATATATATATATATATATATAGTACCTGGGCCACCGAGCTTCGCTCGGAGTTTTTGGTTAACAAGTACAATTTCTTAAAAAAAAAAACTAAAAACTTGAATAAATACAAAAAAAAACAAAAATAAATTATACCTTTGTATGTGACCGAGAATCGAACCTAGACAAGGACCTGTGATTGTTGATCTTGCACCTTGGCCGCTTGAACACGATGCTTATTCCCGAATGTGCAAATTACCGACCTTATTTTGCGTGGAATAGCAAAAGAAAACTGCATGAAAACTCGAAAACGCGCGTTTTCTCAGACATAAGACTAACCTATCTATACTAATATTATAAAGAGGTAAAGTTTGTGATCTTGTGAGTTTGTGAGTTTGTGACGTTGTAGGGGGTAATCTCTGGATCTACTGAACCGATTTTCAAAATTCTTTTACCAATAGAAAGCCACGTTCTTTCTGAGTGTCATAGGCTATATATTAACCGGAAATATGAAAAGGCTTTTTCGTGGTAGTCGGATTTGCAAAGTAAGTCGGAGAAAAAACGGTCGAACGAAAAAGTTTTTTACGAACGCTGCCTTAACCATGAGAGATATATGATTATGTTCTAGAGAAAAGTTGTAGAGCTTAATAATGCCTACAAAAAAGTCAGCGACAGCATATGTCTAACTTTTATATTTAAGTCACAAAAAGTAGTTTTTTATATTAAAAAAATAATTTTAATCGGTAGGTCATGTTTATTGGTCATTTTATCAACAATTATGAATTTTTATCAAAATAAGTAAATTTATCGTCTAAAATGTTTAAAACAAAAGACTTTTCTCTTTTACTGCATATAATTTGGACAAATGGTTAAAGAGATAATACAACATATTCGTAGGTATAGACGAACCCGAGCGAGCTGTTTGTCTGTTTTTCTGTTTGTACGGGCTAATCTCCGAATCTATTGGACCGATTTAAATGAAATTTTGCATGATAGTACCTTATATCCCCGGTCAACATCTAAGACACTTTTCATTCCAGAAAATTAAAGAGTTTCCGTGGGATAGTTAAAAAAACTATAGTAACTTATACAGCTTAGTACACAACAACTCATCCTCCTAATTTAGTAAAATTTGGCATGCTGATACCTTATATTGCCGATCAAACAACAGGTTACTTTTCATCCGGAAAATTTATCATTCCGGAAAAATGAACGGTTTCCGTGGGATAGATCTGTTTGTGCTTTTCTAGAGGTGAACCCGAGCGAAGCGAGGGTGAGCCGCTAGTATATAATAAAATTGTAACCAAGCCGAATCTGTACATTAAATTTTTTTTGGGAAATCTAATTGAATGAAATTATTATCGATACAGAGTCCGATTCTATAGTTTTTAGAATTTTTGTCTGCCTGTCTGTCTGTCTGTTACATATACTGTTATATATATATATATATATATATATATATATATAAATAGGTGAAGGAGAAACATCATTTGGTAAATACATATATACTAATTCATATTCTGAGTTTGTAACTTTCAGACATGATCTTTTCTAACATATCTTTCCTTTCTTTAATGCTCTCCTTGACCTGACCTTTTTTGTTTGGATTCACTGGACTACCAGGTCACGACAAACATTAAATAGTAAGTAATTAGCCATAGTTAGAAATTGAACTTGTGACCTCTGGCTTTGTTTTCTTGATGAGCCATGGTAAATGGAGTTTAGTTGATATATACCTTATATATTATAATCAACTATATACTTACTTTAAAACCAAATTTTTGGTATAGGAATATTGCCGGGTTGGTTGGTGATACATGTAGTGTCACGTCTTGGTCTGTACAAGTCTGCAAATATTTATAAAATTATAATCCATACATAAAATTAATATTATTATCAAAATTATTAACGATTTTTTACACCATTACTTAACAACTTATATAATAGAAATTATTTGAATTCGACTACTATTTATTTTACAGGAAATAAATAAAATTAAAAAGATAGCTTAAGTTTAAAATTATATATTTCTTATTAATATCAATCAAAAAAATAAGACCCAATATACTTAATCGTGTTATGGTTTACACTAGGGTGGAGCGAAGAAATAAATTTTTCTCAGCTCAAATTCTAAAACCTCTAGCTACTAGCTCTCAAATAAAATTTTGAAAAAAAAATAATAACTCATCATTTTGAGGTGGTCAACTTTCACTGTAATATAGAAAAAGTAACATGTTATTATTTCAACTTTTTTTAAAATAGTAATATTGCAATATTACAGTGTAAGTTAAATAGAAAATGACAATCATTTTTTTAATGTTTTCAAAGATGATCACGCGAAAAAAAAAATTAACACCTCGAAACAGCACACACGCACACACACCCACCTGCAGCAAATGGTACAGCATGAAGGAGGCGATCCTCGCGCGCCGCCACTCGGGGCGCGTGAGCACGAAGGACACGTACGAGTCGCCGGCGCCGGCGTCGGGCACGAGCAGCGCGAACGCGACCACCACGCGCCGGTACGACACCACGCAGCTGAACTCCGGGTACTGCAGCGCCTCCGACACTGCAAGTGGTATGTACAAGCATACTAGGTATGTTTTAACTGTTAGTATGGAATAGATAGACTATACCCATACTTATAAATGTGAAAGTGTGTTTGTTTGTCCTTCTTTCACGTCGAAACGGAATGACAGGTTGGCGTGATTTTTTTGTGTGGAGATATTTGGAAGACTGGAGAGTGACATGGGCTATATTTTACCGCGGGAGATTATCTAATTCCCAGGGGAAAACTAGTTATAATACAACCCAAAAAAATATTTATGGTCAGAATTCCTTGAAACTTGGTGTTGATGCTCTTCAATACAATTAAATAAATACGTGTTTTAGCATTTTTCGAAATTCATCCCATAAGGGAGTTAAATAGGGGATGAGTTTAAGCGCGAAGGCGCCGGTTCTGCTAATATTATATATACATAAGTTCATACTTATGTACTTCTCATGGAGTTGTGAGTTGTATTATAACGTGTTTTACCGTGGGAATTAGATAATCTCCCGAATCCCCACACAAAAAATCCGTCACTCGGTTTCGGCGTGAAGAAAAAAATGACAAACAAATATACTATCACATTTATAATATTAAAGTATGGATATAATATATCATGTGCATATTATGTATAATCCAATTCCATCCAGCTGGCTTCCGCGTTTATGTGTAACAAACATAAACACATCAAACCTTTCACATTTGTTACACAATAATTATTAGATTATGGAGTATATTTGTATCCATTTTGTTATTACAAATTAAATAAATAAATGAATAATAAAATTATCGTAGTAATATGATTCGTCACCACTAAGGATGGAAAAATAACTTCGAAGTCACTTTCCACTTTATATTGAAGTCAGTTCAGGTGTATTTTTCTAAAATTGTTCTTTCCTTACCATCTATCCCGGGCCAGAAGAATTGCGCACATAAATTGTTTATGGCGGCTATATGTTGCGGTCGGATATAGGAATAGTCTATAGACGCTCTAGGAGGCGGCTCGTAGTCTTTTATATGCCTATGAAAAAAAAACATGTAATTTGAACATAGATCAAAAAGTACTAGATACACAATCAGCGACAAAAAATGTTCTCACCGAATGAGCGTTCATTTGAACATTTGAGCGCGCTTTTAATTTATATTTTTTTTTGTGAAAACAACTTCAAGCATTTCATTTGAGGTTAAATTTACATTGTAGTATAATATTTTTAATGTTTACGTAGTTTCAAATTAATTGATATTTTTTTAATTTCCTAGATGACACAGGCCTCAGATCTTTTGAGTTTAAGCGCTTCCTATGGGAATAACCGCAAATTTTTTGACGTATAAATTGTTTTATTTTAACTTATGGGGAACTGGCGACATATCGTTGTTCTCATTTGTTTTTATTATATTATTTAACACTAGCGACTCCCCCTCGTTCTGCTCGGCTTTGGCCCTAGTTACGTTTTAACATTTAGTATAGATTTCTCAGAGATGAGATATTTTCCCGCAGTAAAAAGTATCGTATATGTTGACCCGAGTAACCAGCTATCATTGTACCAAATTCATCAAAATATGTCCAGAGGTTTTCTCGTGATGCGTTTCCAGACAGACAGACAAAAATTCTAAAAACTATAAACTCGGCCTGTGTATCGATACTAATGACTATTTCAATAAGATTTTCCGAAAAATAAATTTGATATACAGATTCGACTCACTTAGAATTATATGTATGGATTTACAAGCATTTTGCTTCGACCGTATAGAATCTCACCGATTAGTCTTCCTCAACAATTCATCAGTCAGTTTCAGCCAAGTGGGCGTAGAAGTGGTGTCTCTCCGAATGAACGGCTTCAGCACAGTGCCGGAATATGCCGACCGGAAGGTAGTGGGTTCGATGTGCGACAGTAGCAACGTGCCCAAATTGGTATTAGATATTGTACCGCATAGATTGTCTATAAGGTACTGAAAAACAACAGTTTTTAATTAAATGAAATAATAAAACTTAAAAAAAAACGACTTCCAGGCACTAAAATGTAAAAAAATAACTAAACGGAGGTTTTCATTTAGAATAGATACCTAATCAGATATTTTTAATAATAATTCGTATTCCTCGAAGGTTTTGGGAATATTTGATAACTATGAAAACCTGGTCAGTTCTAGCCATTTCAACTCTTCAGCTTCAGATATCTTTTGGCAACAAAAATATCTTCGAAAAATCCATTCAATTCAAATAATATAAGAATAAAATATTTTTAGGATAAAAGTTCACTGAAAATAAGAATGAATTCAAGCATATGTTGATCAAAGTCTTAATGTGACATAAATTATTCATATTTCTATTATTAATAATTCGAGTAACTCACCGAGCGCTGGAACCTGTCTAAGATACGCTCAGCGTTCATGATGACTCGAGGGTCTTCTGTCACGTAGCCTCCTAATAGTTTTACCGTCCTGGAACAAATGCCAGTTGTTTTTATATTTCAAGTCATAGTTTTATCCCAAAAGTATGGAAAAGACTGCTGTCGATTAAAATATTAGTACAAAAACCGCACAAATCAATAACTGGCATTTCTATAGTAAGAAAAAGGAAGAAAATAATTTAAAAAAAAGTGCTTGTGTATGCCTTCACACATGGTAGAAGTGAAACTTAATATTATATATTTGTCAGACAATAACAACGGTTACCATGGCAACATGGCATTGTATTCTATCTCATTCTCTCGCCGGTTTAATCCTATACATTTATGTGTTTGTCTCTTTTGAGTGTCGCATTTTCGTTTCATCGACTTTCATATCACAACGATTCTAAAGAATTTTCATTTCAATAACTAGTAAAAATAAAAAAGGGATCTAAAGTAAAGCGTTAAAAGATACAGTGTATGCTTTATCCCACTGTAATTATTCTGTTGTAGATATAATTTTTTTGTGATTTTTATGCCATCCTATTATTATTAATATTATTAATGCGACAGTTTGCATGGATGTTTGTTACTCAATCACGCCAGAACGGCTAAATGAATTTGGATGTAATTTGGCACAGAAATAGATTATAGTCTGGAATAGCACATAGGTTTCTATCCCAGAAAAATGTACGGTTCCCGTGGGATTTGTTTCCGTTTCTCACAGAGCAAGGGCTCGACTATCTATTCCATAATAACCGTTAAAAGTTACCTAACGAACCCGAGCGAATCGAGAAAAGTCACTAGTATTAAAATAAATGTAACAGCTAATTAAGTTGTAGAAACCAGATTTTTTTACAATTTATATTGTTTATTCCATTATTCATTTTGGCCATAAATATTCACTTACTTATCCAAATCGAACATTGGCAAATGATTATGGCGTTTTAACCTCCTCAAGGACAGTTTCGCCTTTAGCTGATACAATTCTGCCTTTTTACTAGCTTCCTTCACTTTGGGTATGAGATTCTCTATATTCTTCAACAGCTGGACTTCTTCATACTCGGTCATGGAGACTAATTCTAACGTGTCCTCAGTACTTTCTTTTTCAAGCCACGGCATCGTATCGGTAGAGTTCGGGAGGGTTGAGAAAAGAGAGTGGGTTCTGACTACTGGTTTCTCTTCAGGTTTTTTGGGTTTGCTTTCAGCTTTCTTTACATCTCTGGATTTTTCGTCGTCAGATTGAAATTCTGTGTGGTTGTGCGAGCTGAGCGAGTCGGAGTCGTAGTGGAGTTTGTGTGAGTGTAGGCTGGAAGAGTCACTCTGTAAAGTTAATAATAAAATAAATAATAGTAATTAAGTATTGTCACAGTCGACTAATCCAGGGCTTCCCTAACTGTGCGTTATTTTCCCGGGGCGTCTTTAGGCGATCTACATAAATTGGCTCAAAAAGACAAGCTGCTTGAATTTCCGTCGCAAAAAATTGGCAAATTACTAAGGGCATCACAGTAAAAATAAGTTTGGGAAGCCTTGGACTTATCGCAATACAGTCTAACAAAGGCTATCTCTAGATAGGACAATTGTACGCCACGCGTTGATTCAGGTGAGGCGTACCCATCGACATAGAGAGCAGACTGTTTCTTTGCCAGCCGTAAGCTAAATATGGCGGAAATGCGCGAGAGAGACAAAACGAATTTGCAGCCAGAACTATTCTGTATTAATTAAAATACGATTAATGAAGACAGATATTTATAACCATTTTACATTCAATTATATAATAAATTCTAATATTATATTTTTTAACATTCCATTTATAAATTCGAATTGGAATAAAAGACAGGTATCGACAGGTCGCACGTTCGCTTTCTCTCTTTCTAGAGAGTGGTCAATTTCAGTAGAGTATTGCTCAGTCCATTCAGTACGGGTGAGGCGCACCCGACAATCATACATTCTTTTATATGACAGTGGGGAAACGGCTTTAGAGTTGAAGAGAATCTTGCCACTAGATGGCGCTTTAACTTCGAAACCGATAGAAATGTCACTTGACAGTATTTCTGTTTAAAAAAAGAGCGATCGCCTACTGTATACATTTTTATCGTAGTACTCTTAAGTGTATTTTTATGAAGTGTTACCATTGAAATAATATTTAATTTTTAGAAGTTTCTGCAAATACAAACGATTTAACCTAATAAAATAATGCCAGACATTTGGCTTAATAATAATGATGTAAATAAAATATATAAAATTTCTTATTTTCCAACAAATAATAAAAATAACGTTATCTCTTGGACTATTATACATATATATATATATATATATATATATATATATAAAGAAACATGCTCACCTCTTTGACTACATCATCACTTGCTTCATTGTTTTGTGTGACACTAAACTCACTGAATATACTATCCACATCAGCGAAGTTGTCCCTCGCAGTTACGTATGTCAGATTATTTGTTAAATCTCTTTCAAAATTATCCTCCATATATTGTCTGAAAGCATTATTAATTTTTTTTATTTTCAATGTACTTTGAAGTGAAAAAATTTAAGTGGAAATTTTCTAAAATCTGAAATAAGTGATCATTTGAGATTTAAAGTTATAGCTTACTAGCAGAACCCGCGGCTTCGCGCGCGCTTAAACTACAAAAAAATGTCAATAACATACAAACTTTCATCCCCTATTTGACCCCCTTATAGATTGAATTTCGAAAAATGCTAAAACACGTATTTATTTAACTTTTATTGAAGTGCATTAATACCAAGTTTCAAGTAATTCTGATCAAAAATATTTTTTGGGTTGCAAGATAACGTGTTTTCCCCTGGGAATAAGATAATCGTCAGTGGTAAAAAGTAGCCTATGTTACTCTTCATCCCTCCAACTACCTCTACACAAAAGTCACGCCGATCCGTCACTTCGTTTCGATGTGAAAGAAGGACAAACAAACAAACACACTTTCACATTTATAATATTAGTATGGACTATCGACTCACCCTCGCTTCGCTCGGGTTCGTACCTAGGTTGCTTCCCTATACAAAATTTCACCCCCATTTTCACCGCCTTAAGAGATGATTTCCGGGATAAAAACTATCCTATGTCTTTCCCAGGGTTCCAAAGTATCTTCTTATACCAGATTTCATCTAAATCGGTTCAGTAGTTTTGGAGCGTATTCGATACAAACAAACAAACAAAAAATTTTTTAAGATAAGATAAAATAATAAATAAATCAATAAAATTGTAAACCATACAATCAGTGAAGAATAAAACAAAAAAAAATTGCCGAAATGAAAATTTAATACATTTTGTTATTTCCTTTTGTTACTTTGGAATTATAATGTTACCTCAAATCAGCATCAAATGGCTCACTGACTGATGAAGTAGAAGCACGACTTTGTTCGTCTGTATCCAAACGTCGTTTCTTGCTTGGCATCTCTTCTATGGCTTGTGGTGTAGTTTGAGCTATTGTCACCTCTGGATTATTGTTTAAATAATCTTGATAACCTAAAAGTGGAGATTATTATCTTTAACAAACATAATTCTCGAAAAATAAAATTCATATTTTTTTTTTACATCCTTATTTAAACATTCACAAACAAAACAAATTTTTTATATTATTTGCTCTTGATGGATTAATGACTAATTGTTTATTTGTGAAAAATTTTGAATGGGAAAGAAGAACACGAGAGAAAAATCAAAGACAAGTATATTTTTTTTTATTTTTACAATAGGAACCATGTATTATGTAAGTAGTAGCATGGAGTCTCATCATGAACTAAGAAACATTAGTTCAAATAAACGTCAAAAGATGACGTTACATGTATCGATTTTTTATTAAAGTTGTGTTAAATTAACAAAAGATAAAAATATAGATCTCAAATAGGAATATTTTTGTTTTAAAAAATATTCTAAGTAAAGTGAAACGAAATAATGCACCTGTAAATGAAATTTGCATAATTGTACTGATTTTATATTGAAATATCAGTAATCAGATGATGGGTCTGTAGTGTCTATTCAGAGATGGCACTTTTACTTTTTATGAATTGTTTATCACGGTTAAAAATAGTTAAAATCACAGATTTTTGTTTTTTAAATTTGAATACAGGACGAATTTTAGAATATATACCATACAATATACATTAGTTTGCACATATTTATGAAATAAAACAGTTTAAAACTATTGCGAATAAGCGCTCTCCAATTTCTTTTTATGAGATGAGACGTCTGTACCTACTATATAGTATTATGTGATCTGTGGTAGTAGTATAGTTAGTGTCTATCATATAAATTTCTAATATAAAATTAAACAATTTTAATTAATTTAATATGTATACAAAAGCGATTATTTTACCCATTTTTGTCACTATTGATTTGAATAAACTTTGGTCACATGAGAACAGATGCCGCCTCTTCTTTTGTGTCAGTTTGTCTTGAGATAGCTCGTGTACTGAAAAGAAAACTTGATTATAAAATATAAAAATATAAATAAAATTTCACTAATAAAGAATTTTCCATAAATTAATTAAAGCTATATTGTTATACGAGTATGGCCGCCAAAAATTGTACATATGGAAAAAATCAGTGTCTCTCTCAAACAAAATAAAATATTTTCATATACTACTTCATTTAATGTTATGTTGTAAATAGTTTCAGGTACACATTTTCACGTTTATACTTATCGAAAAATTTAATTAATTTCGGTTTCCTTTAACAGCTGTTTTTTAATTTTTTCCTAAGAGGGTAATCTTGGCATCCATACAAAAATCTCGTGTCCCACTACAACATCTTATAATTTGAAATCAAAAAAATATGCTAAAATGCCTGATGAAGTGTTAATTTTTAGCATTGTTAAATTGTTCAGTTAGTTTTATAAGCTGTAGTGATTTTTAATAACAAGTTACGTAAAAACTTATTTTAAAATAAATTTTAAAGTATGTGTCTCGATTTTTGTTCCCGAATGACACTTCACGCAATTTACTATAAATCACAATGAAATCAGCCTAGATTCCAAGTCTTTAAACATATTTTACTTATATAACAATCCCATTTACAAGTTGGCGACCCTGTAGACAAAAATCGCAATTTTGTTTTCTCTGAAAATGAAGATTAAAGTGGCCAGCACTTTTGTCTCGGGAGTTTTTAATGTTTTTATGTAAGAAAACGCACGGTAAGAATGTAATTTTACAATATTATTTTAATCTCTGTGTGTAGATAGATCATTCAGTTAACAAATAAACCTGTTCGTCATGTTCTTACTCCAGAATAAACCCGAATACATGTTTTTTAGATTACATTCACAGTATTTTTGATTCACGAATGATATTGTGTGTTACTTAATGTGTTACGTAACATTCGTGATCAGTTCTTAAGGTTAGTGTACATTACAGAACTTAAATTTCAACTTGATTTTTTTACAAGTACGTATCCGCGCAGGGTATCTAGTAAATTCTCGAAATTGAGGCAGTTCTACATAATGTGAATCCAATCTATCTTGTTATACTTTATAATTAAATAAAAAATGGCCCTGACGTGTTACATAACATTTAATAATTTTTAGATTTAGCATTATTATAACTTTGACAAAACAAAAATAACTTGTTGTTGATTTTTTTTAAATGGGACCACTTGGGAAGTATACCCTTCGAAACAAAAAAAAATCTAAATCGGTTCACGCGTCTTCGAGTAATCAGTGAACATACATAAAAAAAAGATTGAGCACCTCCTCCTTTTTGGAAATCGGTTAACTAAAGGTAAATTTAACATCTAACTTCACACTGTAACAAATAACGACTAACTTTATACTGTAGTGTAGTCTAAATCTGTCGCATCGTAAAAAAAGTCACTTTCATCATTTTTTCCCTAATGCCTCAATAATTCAATTCAATCAAAAAATTAAAAAAGACAAAGGTACAAACATATAAAAATTGAGCCTAAACATGTATAAGAAAATAAAAAGATGTGCATACCTATGTGTGCCTATTCATAGTCATAAAAAAAGAATAAAAAAAACCCGACTACGTAAAAAGCGATTTGAAAAGATGAGAACAAGATGATGAAGGAACATAGTATATACAGACGAAGACATATCTACATGTTTTATACTATGAGTCTATGTGTATACATTATACCTGCGACTGCTTAGTACTATGTTCTATTTAATACATTCTTCAAGGCCACAGGCTCTTCGGACCGCGAGACCGTACGCAATGGCCCACGTCGCCTACACCTTACACCACTTGTGTACTGTGCTAATCCCAAGTAATTTGGGAAACGGGCAGGGAGATGATAATAAAGTACAGATATTCACTTACAAATATGTGAGGCAACTGCAGGCGAGAAGTTATGTTGTAATTGCCACCAGCCTGTCTCCTTTAAAATGGTTGATCCAGATCGGAAAAATAGATTATTGTACACAGACAATGCTCCTGCTATAGTACCCATCCAGTTCTTTTTCTGTTTGCTAAAAAATATTGGTGATTATATTCTGTTATGCCAAAACATAAGTAATTTAATAATTTATTCATTCTTTAATTAATATATTTTAGTTTTTTAATTGAAATAATATATGATCATACTAACAAGCGATTTCCAAAGAGCTGCACCCAATATCTATCAACAAAATAGCAAATGTGCATCTTATAGTGAAAGAAACCATTGTTACTGATTCCCTGCATATGTTTACTCAAGTGGTGTAATGTCAATAATAAACAATTTACCCTGAAAAAAAATATATAAATCAGCAACGGTATATGATTCTTTTTTCATTCAATTAGCTTCAATCAAATTGCCATAACACCAAAACTGACAAATGATTATCAGGATAATTTATTATTTAGTGAACATATAAGTTTATAAGCACAAAATTAAAACACAGATTTTAAAGTTTATAAAACTTTTTATTCATAAAAATCAATCATAAATTGTGATAATTTCTAAAACCGGCTTATTATATATCACGATATTATGGGCTAAAGAAATGAAAATATAAATCTTACCATGGAAATTTATTACGTCTTAAAACTTCCTCTGAGTTCTGAGAACAGTCTGCGCATGTAAAATCAAAGAAAACATCGCAGGCAAAGTCCCCAGGAGTTCCTGGCCGTTTTAAACAAGATAAATGAACAAAACATGTACAAGTGTCGCAAACAAGGCCAGGACGATCCTGTTTGTTTTCTGGTTCACTACAATACTTGCACGTTGTACTCATTTTCTAATATAGCTTTTATTTATTTTCCCATGCAATTAGCATTTAAAAACATTGTTTGTTTTCATTTATATTTGACATAAACATAACCTATTACTTAGCGCTGTTTATAATTACATAGTTAAATGTCAAATGCATAGATGACAAATGTCAAATGTGTCAAAATTGTGTTGCCAGATTAGAAATATTCTATGCACTAAATTCCCAAGATATAATTCTGTTACATGGGTTCCTACAATAATTTAAGATGTAAGTATTATCAGAATGCTTTTCGTACGTCGAAACTATTAAATGGATTGTAATAATACGTGATGTCATTATTGACATAGTAATTCGACTTTCTCTTTGGTTATTCTATTATAGTAAACAACGAAAATAGTTCCGGTTCCAGCCCTTAGGAGGACAAACAGTTATATTAATAACGAATATTTTTTATATATGCTGACCGGCCACCAATTTGAACCATGAGGAAGCTAAAAACTGTTTTTAATATCAAAGAGGTTTCTAAAGAAACTAAGCTTACGTGCACGGGGTTTTTTTATACAACTCAATATTATCTTTCTTTCATTAATTACATATTTCCTATGAATATGTCATAGGAAATAATTATGTGAAGTTAGTGAAAGCTATTATAATTTTACAACACAAAACTGTGCTGACTAAAACAGTAATATTAATAAAGAAGAGCCATGAGACACGAAGGGGAGAAGAATAATATGTCTAAGTGGAATGTTGATATAACGTAACTCATAGATTCGATAAATTGGAAGTAGCCGTATTAATTTATAAGTACGCGAGGAATAAAAAAGATAGTGTTTTAGATTTTTTTAATAAAAATAAAAATTTTAATCTTAAACCCAATCACTGTCTACCAGAACTTTCTTCTCTAAACTCTCTAATCCATTTCTTTATGTTTTGTCTGTGAACATTTCTGGCCATTTTCACTGAGCTTGGGTCATATTTACTGCCTGCCATCAAGTCTAGATGATGAGCAGCATCGATAATAACAACTGCAGTCACCGAGTTACTTATGCTGTTGAGGATTCCACCTGGAAAAGTTAATAAAATCCTATGAGGAAAATATAACTAGAACAGTTTAATTTTTACGACAAAAAATATAATTGAAAAAGAAATTAGATATCTAATTATTCTACTTAGTAATGAACAACCTATTACACAAACTAAAAATCTAATAAAACTATTAAAGTAAGTAAAATATTAAAAAAATATACTGTTAAAAACTGACCTCCAGCCCATGGGTCAAGTAGTCCATTACTGAAAACAATGTTCGAAGCTGCCTTGAGTCTATCACCGCCGTATTCCACTCTTGCTCCTTGGGGTCGAGGGTATACATTGTATTTTTTATGGCATGTTTCAGCATACTTAGTAAAATTCCAAGGGGTTGGTTCAAACATGTCATCTACTCCATTCGAGCACATTGGCATCACCATTTCTGTGCAGGCCTGTGGATATCAATAAACTGTTAGTTTTTAACTTAGATCTGTAAACAACTTATTATTGGACATACGTAATATTTTTCTCAGTGTTATATTTTATTAAAAATTTATAGCGGAGTTTGTTTTTTTCCAAAAATCTGTTTTTAGTGTTTTCGTTAAATGTTGGTACTATGTTATTCTAATCACATATTGAAATGATCAGATTGTACCTATTACTATATTACCTGATAATCCCAACCACTGGCGTCTAGGTTACCTAATTTATCACCCATTTTGTAATCAATGCACTTTGCTTTGCCGTCAAAATCGGCGTAAGTCTGTATAACATTTCCTATGCCCTGAAAAATAAAGAAATTAGTGGATGTGTGCGGAGATGAGATAGAGTACTAGTATGAATAGTGACTAAATAATCTTACCTCAAGCAATTTCTTGTCTTTCAAATGCTCATTCAAATACTGGCACACAACCCTCACTGGTTGCGCCGGCAGCGACATAAGGAAGTCCGTGGCGAAAGGATAGTTCACCATCGCAAGGGTCTCATACATGCTTTGTAAGAACTCCACCAGGGTTTGAACATCTTCTGAAGTTTTTATAGGATCACATAACTTCCAGGTCTTTTGCAACCAATCGGTATTGTTCTGGGTTTTTACAAAGCTTCTGTAATTAGAGGCAAATAATTTTATTTCACTACGGATAATTAATACAAGATGAGGTTAATAGATTCAATTTTCAATAACAATAATGATAAAATTAGTTACAGAATAATCAAAATAAAGGAAGTGAAAGTATCATTTCGACATCATAGTATCAAGTATCAATGCGCAGATATTAATTTGAATATAGCAATGTATTAAAGAGGTTAAATATGTTTGTATGAAGAAACTGATGCTACTATGTCCTCCTAAGAAAAAAAAGAACCATGTATTTTTGTCATTGAGCGGGCATAATCTATGTGATGTAGGTACTAGTGTTTTGCCGCGGCGCCACTCGCGTAGTACACTAATGTACGTATACATATTATAATCTATTTTCTACTTATGAATGTATAAGCTATATTACTGTAAGATTTCATCAAAATTCGTTTAGTAAGTACTTTTCGTGTAAAAGAATAACAAACATACAACGGTACAATTAGCGGAACGACTGAACTTAGGCCCCTACTTTCTGGCCACTCTACTTAATTATTTACTAATGTTACATCGTTACGAAGATAATAAAAATACAGTTTAATCACAAAGTTATTAAACAGTACGGCCAAAATTAGATTACTCTATTGTGATAACTTATAGAATAACAGACAACAGAGTACTCGTACATTGAAAAAAAAATAATAAAAAAAATGACTGCCAGGTAATGATAATGCTGCTGTAACAATATTTATATACCTCAATACGCTCCAAGAGCTTCTAATATTGTCCACACATGTTTGACTAACAATTTTGAAGCTAGACGTCACTATTCTATCGAAAACTTCACATGGCACCATTCCAGGGTACATATGAATAGGGGCAGACGCTGCGATCGCACCTGTCACTAAATGGGGGTACTTGATGCGAGAATATGCAGCCAGCATCCCGCCATACGAACCTAGAAAATTAAAAGGAGTGTCACAAAACAGTATAAATGAGTGCATACAGCTGTTTAATATTTATCGACTATATACCATGGTAATGTCTCAACTTCACCTACAATTGAATACTCCTTGACAGAATAACCCAATGACCCCTTTGATCTAGTCTGGGATTTGAACCCAGAACACGCATCGGTATAAACTAGCCACTATAATTCATCTCATTTGATGATGATGCATGCTGGATGACACTTAAGTAATAGGGTGGATATAATATCTTAGATTTACGCGAATATATGACATTTTAAATAAAACTATCTTTGCGAATTTTTTCGCGGATTTAGTTGTATTTTTAGGATTTTGGGGAACCAAAAATCCAAATAAGTCCGCGAAAAAATCCGAAAATATAGTTTTATTTAAAAAGCGGATATAATAGATTAATTAGTATGCGAGCACATACACATATTCTTTTTTTATCTTTTTGTCATACAATCTTTCCATCTTAAGAAGAGATATGTAGTCATTTTTAGAAATTTGAGAACTTAAAACTTAGAGAATTTGCACATCGCTCTAATGACAACAATTCCCCGAGATCTATCTAGAGTGGGTTTCAGGGAGATCTTTTAGTATTGAATTTCATGCGTGCATGCCACAAAAGTTAGTTTAGCTTATACTCGTATATAGTGAGAACCGACCAAGCTAGTCGCGGTCTGCGAGTTGAGTGAAATCGAACAATAACAATGTATGGAAATAATAATCATTAATTACATAAAGCGTTTTCAAAAGCAATTAACTTAACTGTAATATGAGAATAATACTTCGTAAACAAAATTTTATATGTTATTGGAGATATTATTGTGTAATAATGTGGTTGGAGTTGCAATGTTTTAATTACCTATTATCAAACTTATTGTTCTACTATAAATATTAAATATTTACTTTTAATAAATGTTAGAAGATAATAATATACTTACTAATTAATATCTTTTTATGTTATAGACCGCAACTACGATTACATACATATGTTCCCCGTTGGTATAACACATTATATTTTCTCAATATTTAATTATTGCTTTCATAACTATCTATACTAATACTATAAAGAGGAAAGATATTTGTTTGTTTGTACCGAATAAGCTCCAAAAATACTGAACCGATTTAGATAAAAATTTATGCTTTGTATGGGCTGGCACCGATTTCGAAAATATTTGATTAGGTATGTATTTAATAGGTAGGCTTTAATTACTTAGCCAAAGCACACCGTCTTCAAAAATATTTGATTAGGTATGTATAGTAAATAAAAACTACCAATCAGTTATTTTTTACTTTTGAGTGCTTTTGTTTGAAGTCGGTTTTTATTTTTTTGTTAAAAAGTTTTTATTTTTCCCTTTTTAGAGTAGAGAGTAGTAGCAAAGTAAGAATTCTAACGTGTTAGGCTTGTCAAATCAAACAAATTAAGCCCAAACTCAAAGTATCTACTATTAGCCGTTGAAGAGATTCACCTATCCACCTTCTAGCCTTACCATCAGATCAGGCCAACAATACCGAACCACTGTACTATCAACGGACATAGAAAAATTTGCAAAGTTTCAAGTCAATATCACAATTAGAAGTAGGTTAAATTTATCATTAGCTATTTTTCCACCCTTAGGAACCTTTGAAATTTAAATGGGACCAATCTGGAAGTATACACTTTCAAACAACACTAAAATTGTCCAAATCGGTTAATAAATGACGGAGTTCTGAGGTAACAAACATAAAAAAAACAGTCGAATTGAGAACCTCCTCCTTTTTGAAGTCGGTTGAATAATTTGAGACCCTAAGGAGGACATAGGATAGTTTTTATTCTGGAAAGAAAAGAGTGAAAATGGGGATGAAAGTTTGTATGGAGAAGCAACCAGGGGACGAACCCTAGCGAAGCGCGGGTGATTTGCTAGTTTATTATAAAGTCTTCGCTTTATAGAGAATCTGATTGTCAAGAATTTTTGTTCAGACATAATTATTTATGGGCTAAAAAGTGTCATGTGTTTCTTATTGTTTCAAAGTTGTTGTCGTTTCATGTTAGACAAGCTATAAGCTTGGTATAGAATTAAGCCAAGCGAAATCAAATTAATTTTTGTTTATTACCTCCAAAGGCGATAACGGGGTATTTCGGTTTAAGGGAATCGCCTTGCAGGTAGTTAATAAGATCAGCGTAGTCGGCCAGCGCTTGCGCAGACGTCAAGTAACCTATGTGTTCATTGTCCATAGACTTGTTGCCAAAAGGCATCGATTTACCGTAGTACCTGTGGAGGTAAAATAAATTAAATTAGTATGGACGTCGACAAATATAAAAAACAAATATAATATAAAAATATTACTTTTATTACGTGTAATGGTAGCAAGTTAATTTGTTTAGCTACAATAACATACCTGTGTTCTGCAAAAACCAATTTTGCTTGATAGTCAGCGACGATGTCCCACATAAAGCCTGTGTGTTTTGCGAATGCCTCGATTTGACCCTTGAAATAAAGCAGTTAAATTTTAAAAACAGTTTCAGTTTGAAACCAAAGCAAATATTTGTGTACGCTGGCTTGAATGAAAGCGCAATTTGAGAACGGTAACAGGAGTGCGCATCTGGATCATAATTGTAAGTATATCAAGAGCCTGTCTGTGATAACAAAACTGATACTCTTATTCTACCTTCTATTTATTTATTTATGGCTGAACCGATTAAAGTCACGCTTTTACAAGTATATAGAGGATTCATTCAGATGGAAGTGAGACTTCTTTTCATCCCAAGAAAATAAAAGTGTTTCCTTCGAATAGGAGATGCCGAGATCCGAGAGTAACTAAAACAAAACGATAGGGAGTTGATAGTTAAAATTTATAAATATAACTTTTTGATTATTTGCTAGAATTTTTTCTACATTGCAAAAGGAGCTTTATTCCATTAGGTATAATATGAGTTTTAATACTGGTAAAAGCTTAAATAATGCACTATCATAAGCTTTGCTAGTAGCGTTGATAACAACATACAGTAAATAGTATCTGAGTTACCTACTGTATGTAAACAAAAATGATAAGGTGCCAATGAACGTTGGTCGACGGTAATGTTATTAATTATTATGTAACATTACCGTGGTTGGACCTTATAACAAACTAAATAGCTGCAAAAATATTCAGCTAATACAAATAGCTATTGAAATAAATAATAATGTAAATTAAATAGCACATAAAATGGCCTTTTCTCATATTGTTTTACACATCTCTCTTCTTGTTTTATATCACAGTTTATTTTCAGTAAAGACAAATTCAATATGACCTTGAACAAACTCCTCATACGCAATACGCATAACCTGAAGTTTATTTAGCCTGCAGTTAACTAAAGGTTTCTAATAATAAAACATTATAGTTATAAAGCGAGTTTGACCCAAAAAAAAGAGATACATTAAAGATGTACAATATTCGTGAAGCTAAATACTAATTATTCATTCACTTCAACTTAACATTACTTTTATGGCGGTACTTGTAAAAAAGATGTTGAATATCAATGTTTTACCACCTCCAGGTAAATTTCTAAGAAATTAATTAAATTTCTAAGAAATCTATTGTTAACTGTAACGCCGGCGTTTCCGCGGTCGTTGAGGTATTAAAACTTTGGTGTATAACTGACCTTCTAATGTTATTGTTATTATTGTGTGGCTTGTAAGTTAAATATAAGCTAAATTTAGAGATAATGTCTAGTGATAATTTAGTGATGATTCTTTTGTGTCATAGAGGAAGGAGCTGTCGTCTGTAACACAGGCTCGGCCTAGTACAGTCGGCAGTGACAAACCGAACTAAGTAACTTAAATTGTAATTAGCTTATTTTGCGCTTAGTATAAACAATGTAACTTAATGCTAATCAAGTTTTATTATTATTATAACCGCGATTTGAAGTATTTATTGTAAAACAATCAAACAACCTTTATTGTCTTTTACCACAGATTATAAAGACTAAGTAACCTTGCCAGTATATTTATTTAAATAATAATTAGTATCCCACGGGAACTACTTTATACGACAGGATAAAAAGTGGTTTATGTCCGTCTCCATAACCTAGGCTACGCGCGTGCCTTGCTTAAGGAGTGAGACGTTAAGGTCAAGCATACTTAATTTATCTACTATTTATTAATAAACAAACTTTTCCATGGCTTCTCGTTGTTTATTTATTAACGCTTCGACCCTAACTTTCACATCATCCCCTATTTTTCATCCCCAGAGGATGTACAAAATTATTTTGAAATAGAAACATCGTATTTTTTTTATCAAATAGGATATTTCTAATTTTCGTCGCTGTAACTTTAAAAATATTGTATCACGCAAATTGCAACCCCTTTTCACCCTTTTAGGGGTTGGATTTTCAAAAATCCTTTCTTAGCTGATACGTATTTCATATCAGAAAACTTCCTGCTTCAATGTTAGATACTTTTCAAGATTTCATGATAATCAGTATGTGGTATATATTAATATACTAGTTTAAGTACATAAGTATGTCCTATAAATTGTTTGCAAGAACGTTAGAGCATCCTGTAATTTTAACATTTGAACATTTCATTAGCGAACTGATGGCAAATGTAATGACAAGTCTAAAATATAATCTAACTAGCAGAACCCGTGGCTTCGCACGCGCTATAACTACCAAAAAATCTGTAAAAAAATAATTTCATACAAACTTTCATCCCCTATTTTACCCCCAAAAGGCATGATTCTGGAAAAATATTATAACACGTATTTATTTAATTTCATTGAAGAGCATTAATACCAAGTTTCAAGTAATTCTGATAATATTTTTTTGGATCGTATTATAATGTGTTTTCCCGTGGGAATAAGATAATTTTCCGCGGTAAAAAGTACCCTATGTCACTCTCCAGCCCTCCAACTATCTCCACACAAAAAATCACGCCAATCCGTCACTCCGTTTTGACGTGAAAGAAGGACAAACAAACAAACACACTTTCACATTTATAATATTAGTATGGATGTGTGGTTACCTATAACAGATTTCGATTTAAAATAATGCATCTTAATTATATTGCGATCTAAATCAATTGTTTCGCGCGAACATCGAATGAGTGACCTTCTAGTCCAGGCTATAAGATAAATACACTGCTAGGTCACTACAAATGAATAAACCTATTAATGCTTCTTACATCCTCATAAAAACAATGTTATGCATCAATGCCTTAGATAGCTATGTAACTTATAGATAATTGTTTTATGAAACCATGCACAAGAAACACTATAATAATTTACTTTTATCTAAGTATATCCACTTAAATATTTCAGTTTATTTTTTATGTTGTTTAAAATAACGTTTGGCCGTTTTCATTTGCTTCTGCAATTAGATATATGTATGTACATGTACTTATATTAATAAATGGAGGACCGATTTTTTTGTTCGATTATAGGTATTGCGATAACTACTGAACCGATCGGAATAATGCTCATACCATAAGATGCAGCGTGTTTCGGAGAAGGTTTTAGTATAATATGATATGTTGGTGATTAATGCACTATGCGGACGGAGCCGTAGGAAAACGCTAGTACGAATATATAACACTACGTACCTCATTTCCCGTGTAGAAGAATATCGGCCCACGTTCCCGGTCCCAATAATCATTATTTTCTAAATAGCGTATTTCAAATGTTTCATTTCTTTGAAAGCCAAAATGATCGAGAGGTACTCTAAACCACTTAGTCTCATATTTGTATTCCGACTTCACTAAACCCAGAAACGACACTAAAATTATAAATTTTAACATATTTCTACGCGTGTGCTCTCGGTGAAGTTCCATTTGATTGTAAGCAGTCTGCAGTAACAACTAACAGTAAGCTTGACGTAACGTACAGTGACGGACTGAAGTGTCATGGAGCACTGGTACGATAATGCTATTATGTATACTAATATTATAAAGAGGTAAAGTTTGTAATTTTGTAACGTTGTAGGGGGTAATCTCTGGATCTAAGTACTGAACCGATTTAGATGAAATTTGGTAAGAAGATGTTTGAGACCCTGGGAAGGACATATGATACTTTTTATCCCAGAAATCTTCCCTTAAGGGTGTAAAAATGGGGTTGAAAGTTTATATTGGGAAGCAAGCTAGGGACGAACCCGAGCGAAGCGAGGGTGAGTCGCTAATATCTTATATTACCTACTTATAACTTACATTCTGTATAGTTTCACCGACTTATTATAATTAAAAAGCTAATAGGTCATTTGTGTGTTTGCAAAATGAACATGGTGGGGTTATTCGATTATATATTTTTATTATTTATCGCAAATGCAAAATTTCTATCGAATTATTAATCGCTTTTCTCATAGGGTAGATAGAAAAACTAAATATTTTTTAATATATTCCCAGATTTTCACTGCTTTTTAATATTTTCAAAGTTTTGAGTGTAGTTTAGAATAACGCGGATGTAGTCAACTCACGCTTCCCGTCAGACTGATAGCAATCATTTATACTCGATTGATTCATAAGTCAGATTCAGAAAAATTAAGTCTCTTTGAATTGTCTATACCTATTCAGACTTTGCGTTTGAAACATTTGTCTGTAGCAAACCAGCAACTTATTCTAGAATCATCTAAGAATTCTGCTGCATTGGATAACGAAAAGCATCTAACTCACGCCTTTATTTTTATATGAAAATATTTTTAAACCAAAAAAACATAACATATACTTTAAAAAAGCCTTAAATGTAATCATGCCACTTTTAGGAGAGGAAAATTTTAAATAAAACTATCTTTTCGGATTATTTCGCGGATTTATTTTGATTTTTGGTTCCCGACGTTTCGAATGCTTTACAGCAATTATGGTCACGTCGGAGAAAGTATTAGAGGAATATTTATTAAAAGTTATATGGAAACTCAAGAGATACTTATTTCTCGTTTCAATCATTTTGTTAAATCAAAATTAGTTCCTATAAGACTCAGATATTATGTAACATGCGTACCAAATAAATATAGACTCGAATGGATTACCTTCTTCATTTTCCAAGTCGGCTAAATATGGAGAACTAAACGTTCAAATTATAATAAGATTGATAATAATTATAATAATGTACTTAAAATACATAAATTGCTAATAAAATTATTTATTTTCTATCTGTATGCAATATGCAATAGATATCCGACAATGAATATTGCGGTTGCTTCCTCTTTTTATCTCCTCCTTGACATAACATTATTGTTGTTTTTTCCAGAAGGTTTTCATAGACAGGGGATACCTAGGGGGGACCTTTCTTTAAAATATACATATGATAAAGTACTGAGTCGAACATTAAATATTTATTGGAAAATCTTATTGAAATAGTCATTATTATCGATACAAAGGCCGAATCTATAGTTTATATCTAGAATTTTTGTCTGTCTGTCATGTCTCATCTCTAAGGAATCTGAAATAAAATCTATACTAACCGTTGAAACGTATCTAGGGACGAACATGAGCGGAGCAAGGGTGATTCGCTAGTCTTAAAATAAAATAAAACACTGCGGATACGTCCGAAAGGCAAGAGTAGCAAAGAAAGGCAAAAAGTAGAAAAAAGAAGTTCAATTCAATATCTGTGGTCAGTAGCTCCTAGGAACCAGCAAAAGTCACATACTTTTCATCCATTAAAAGTATAGGTAGGTACAGAGTTTTATGCTTAAAGTGTGTAAGAAATGTTTACATATATAATGCGAATTATATAAATATTTCTTACATAAATACTTTAAGCATAAAAGTATCAATAAATCTATAAAGTATTTAGGTCGTTGATAAAAACATTATAAGAGAACACAGACATTACAACCAATTGTCTGTGTAAGAGAATAATTAGACCGATTTGAATGAAGTTAGATATCTTATTCAAATTGGTCTAGTTGTTCTCTTATATGGGGGAAAAATTTGAAAAAAATCGTGAGAGATTGAAAGTTTTCTATATCAATGGTAAAAGATTAAAAGTGATTTTTCTATTCAATTTTCGGATCATAAATAATATTAAAACGGATACCAGACAAAACAATTCTTCCCTTGTCTTTGGCTAAACACGAATTAATCGTTATCCATACATATATTCATGAGGTATCTCTTCTTTGGTAGCCATAGACAAATACACATTAGTTGTCTACATGAGTATTATACAAAAAAATACAGAGTTTAGCACTCTATTCGCTATTTCAATTTATTAAACCTATTTTCAACCGACTTTAAAAAGGAGGAGGTTCTCAATTCGACTGTATTTTTTTTTATGTTTGTTACCTCAGAACTCCGTAAATTTAAAAAAAAAATACCACCCCTAAGGGTGGAAAAATAGCTAATGATGGATTTAGCCTATTTCTAATTATCATATTGACTTGAAACTTTGCAAGTGTTTCTATTTCCGTTGATAGTACAGTGGTTCGGTATTGTTGACCTGATCTGATGGTAAGGCCAGAAGGTGGATAGGTGGAACTCTTCAACGGCTAATAGTAGATACTTTGAGTTTGGGCTTATTTTGTTTGATTCGACAAGCCTAACACGTTAGAATTCTTACTTTGCTACTACTGTCTACACTAAAACGGGAAAAATAAAAACTTTTTAACAAAAAAATAAAAACCGACTTCAAACAAAAGCACTAAAAAGTAAAAAATAACTGATTGGTAGTTTTCATTTACTATACATACCTAATCAAATATTTTCGAAGTCGGTGTGCTTTGGCTAAGTAGTTAAAGCCTACCTATTAAATACATACCTAATCAAATATTTTCGAAATCGGTGCCAGGCCATATAAAGCAAACCACACCGACTTCGAATATATTTGATTAGGTATGTATAGTAAATGAAAACTACCAATCAGTTATTTTTTACTTTTTAGTTCTTTTGCTTGAAGTCGGTTTTGTTATCATAAAATTAAATACTCTTAACAAATTATTAAAAATAAAAATAAAATTGCCACTAGAGGATATGCCACAAAGTATACCCGAAGGTTATCATCTTTAACCTGTGGCTTATGACGAGCTGCTCGTGAAGCTTCCATAACTATGTACATAATACATCAGTATCTGAGTTTGAACGTTGAATATTTTTAATCTCGGCGAAATAGTGCTATTACTACATATTATGTTTATATGTTTCTCATACACACGCAACCTGTGTGTTTATCATATCATAACTCCCAAACTGGACCGAATTCAATGTGTTAATATGGCTAATTCTTAATTTAGTATTTTTTTTATTAGGTATAAGTAAAGTAGTAGGTACGTATTTGAAATAAAAATATTGAATTTTAACCACTTTTGCATTGAATTTGTGTGTGCTATCATAACGTTATGTGGAATAGAAAATTTTATAATATTACAAAATTAAAATAATAGGTATATGCTGTTTTTTATGCCTTGTGAAGTGGGTTTAAATGCGAGTCTCGCACCTGTGAAAGTTTTGTATAAATTTCACCACTTGCGAAAACTGTGATGAAAAATCGTAAGGAGAGCCGTATGTCTAGTTAAATTTAACCAGATATTGAAAAACGTGTGAACTCCGCTAACCTGCATTTGCCCAGTGTGTGACCCAACCCCTCTCTCATGAAAAGGATGTCCACGATATTAAAACGGCTGAATTATTGCATATAATTGTCGATCAAAAAAGTACTAGATACACAATAAGCGACAAAAAAATGTGTTCACCGAATCTCATTGGAACATTTGAGCGGACTTTTTCTTTGTGTAAACAACTTTAAGAATTGCATTTAATGTTCAATTTACATTGTTGTATATTTATTTCATCTAAAATAATTACCTAAACACAATTGGTGACAGTTTTAAGAGAACTGTAGAATGGCATTATATATCTATCCAGTACTTTTTTACTATATTATTATCGAAATGCAAAGAATTTACCGTAAAAATAAATAAAACCACTAATAATACACGATTAATGTTATTATTATATTAGATAGTATAACAGTTTATCAAAATGAAAACGACTTAAAAGTCCTGTGGCGCGATTTTGGCCAAACCAAGATATTTTTTTTTGTTATATGCGTATATGTATTTATTATATAAATATATTAAAAATCAATATAAATACTGTAAATTTATAATCTTACACATAGTACACATAGATGTACTCGTACATATGTTTGCATACCCTTGAAACATTAAATAATAAAATTGCAGTTAGGCCATTCCTGCAAAAATAGCCCTAATATTATAAAAGTTGAAAACTACTACTATACGTCTACTATTTTTCAATGCGATATCGATATTAGGTGCTTCAAAACCACCAGTCAAGTCATCTCCAGATCCTGCAGGTGTTGTCTTTGGAAGCGGTTATAATGGCATCACCGGAGTATGAATACGCGCATGAGAATATCTCTCCTTGATGGCCGGAAAGCACCTGGAAAATAAGGTTGAATGTATAAGTTAACAATAATTTATGTATATTTAGATATTCCAAGTAGAAGCAAAATCCGTTTACTAATATGTATATCAATTCGAAATTATGCTTGTATGTTTGTTCTTTCACGCAAAGTGCCAGCGCGTCGGTTATATTGAAGTAATAATTGAATTTTGGGGTCTGATAGAAATGAATTTGACGACTGTATCGACTAAATGGGCACAGAGGTCACCTGTCAATCTGGCCTTTAATTCGACCTGGGACTGTTATTATTTCCATCTCCACACAATGTTTGTATTAGAAATGCAGATAAACCCCTTGAGCGCACCACTTGAAAACGGCTGGCCCGTTTTGATCATGTTTTTTAAACGTTTGTATCAGATGTTCGGAAAGGAAAAGTTGTCCGAAAAACAGGGAAAATCGAGAAAAACTGAAAAAAATGCTTTTTTTATGTAATTACTAGCGGCTCACCCTCGCTTCGCTCGGGTTCGTCGCTAGGTACGTTTTAAATAGATATAAAAAGAAAAAATCTTTCTTTCTCACATTTTAATTATATGTTTTAATACTTACCTATTCCGGACTAAGAGAAATCCAAAAATTAAAATATCATAAAAATTGGAACGCGGTCGAACGGGATAAAAAGTATCCTATGTCCTTCTCCTGGCTCTAAACTACCTCCCTGCCAATTTTCAGCTAAATCGGTTCAGCCGTTCTTGAGTTATAAGCGAAGTAACTAACACGACTTTCTTTTATATATATAGATTGTATGATCTCAAAGATCATGATTTTTAATTAATATGTTGCAGGATAACATCTGGCGGATAAGCTTGTTTTTAATTTTAAGTTCAACTGGTTTTTCGATTGGTTGAATTTTAAATTTAGAAAAATAAATATTTTTATTACCAGAGTATGATAAATCTATGCAGCTAATATGTAAATATGATTTATAATCATACCTGTTGAAACGATAAGTATATTACCTGAATACAATTCCCCGTAGTGGTATTCCAGCACCTGGCGCTGCGGTCTGCTGAAGCTGTGAGCAAACAACCGCCTGCTGGACTAAAGCACACCTATAATGATTAATCCATTTAATTTTATATATTGACTAGGGACTTAATCTCGAATCAATAGGGAGCGTTCCTACATAGACATGTAGGGATACGAGTATAAACGTCCAAATAAAGGTTCTATTTGTCAAGCGCGTACTCACTCACTTATAAACATACGTAATTGGTTCTATAAGTTTTTGTTATATTGTTACCTTATAATTTATATTATATGATATGTTTAAAGATTTTATTTTTATTTTTAAAATCGTGGGTAATGGTTTGGTATAATGCAATTAGCCATAGTAACAATCTTATGAAGAGTTACAGACACTTCAGTTTTTTAGAAATAAATTCAGCAAACTTTTAAGAAATATTTTACGCATGTCATATACTCGTACACACATTTGTACAATTATATATAAGGTACTACATAAAATATTACTCTGAAGGTATAATAAGAAAAAAATAGGTATGTTTGAAACTAACAACAAGAGCTATTGTGTTAATGGCTGTTGGGCAATTAATCAATCGAGACATAAACCTGATATACCGGGATGTTCTAAAATTAGATATGCACTAATTGCACAGTTTACGTAGATAAGTTACGGATAATAATTATGAATAAGTATATAAGTAAACGGTATACCTATTTATAATTTACTATTAGTACCCGCGGCTTCGCACGCGTTTAAACTTCCTTTCTGTTATCACGCCTTCCCTGGTCCCTGGATAGGACTCTTTTTTTGAAATATTTATCACTAAAAATACTTTGATAACCTTATTAATTGAAAATGCATTGCTCCAGTCCTCACTCACATTATTAACTATTCACTGGCTTGCAATGTTTTTCCAACTCAATGGAAGAATGCTCTTGTCATACCCTTACCTAAAACCACAAATCCCACCTGCCTCAATGAGTATCGTCCTATATCCATCCTACCTATCCTATCCAAAGTCCTAGAATCCATTGTGCACAATCAACTTTACTCCTACCTTGCTTCGTATAATTTACTATGTCCTTATCAGTCCGGTTTTCGTCCCTTTCACAGCACTATTGGTGCGCTACTGAACATTACGGAGGACATTCGGTTTGCCATGGATAACACCAAGCTCACTGCAATGGTACTCCTTGATTTCAGTAGTGCATTCAACTCTGTTGACTTCGACATTCTTCTTGGCACTCTTCGCGCAGTTAACATTTCTCCTGCGACTATTGACTGGTTTCGCTCATATCTCTTCGGGCGTCGCCAGTGTGTGAGAGCTAATGGCTCTTCGTCGGAGTGGTTAGATCTCACGGCTGGGGTCCCCCAAGGCGGCGTTCTTTCACCACTACTCTTTTCTGTTTTTATCAACAACATATCTCGCGTCATTTCTTCTCCCTACCATCTGTATGCAGATGACTTACAACTCTATCGCCATTTTGAGTTAACTGAGTTGCCCGATGCTGTTGAAGCTTTAAATAATGATCTTGTCGCTATACAAACTTGGGCCGAATCTTACGGACTTTTAGTTAACCCTAATAAGTCTCAAGCCATAATTATTGGCAGCAGCAGGCTAAGATGTAAGATAGAGTGGGAGTCAGTCCCTGGGATTATATACTCTGGGGTCCATATACCTTACTGCGATAAAGTAAGGAACTTGGGTCTTATCTTAGATTGCCACATGACATGGACACCTCATATCAATGAGGTTAGTAGGCGTATGTACTTCACTTTCCATTCTCTGAAGCGTCTCCAATACTTTCTTCCCTTCAAAACCAAAATTATGCTTGCGCAGTCTCTTCTACTACCCATACTTGACTACGCCGATGTATGCTATTTGGATGTGACGGAGGAGCTACTGAATAAACTAGAGCGTCTTCAAAATCTTGCCATACGCTTTATCTATGGTCTACGCAAGTATGATCATGTTTCCGACTTTCGAGCTCGTCTTAAATGGCTCCCTATCCGCCTTCGCCGTGATATGCACCTCCTTTCGTTTCTGTTCAACATCCTTCATAACCTCAATTTTCCCTCTTACCTTCGTTCCCGGTTTAACTTTCTTCCCACTCCATCGCGTTCCAGGCGGCCCTGCATCTCATCGATGCTTGACATACCAAGAAGCAACACCAAGTTTTTCCAAAACTCATTCTCGGTTCAGGCTGCAGTGCTTTGGAACAGACTTCCCAAAGTCCTACAAGAGAGCCCTTCTAATGATGCATTTAAAATCAATATGAAAAATTATTTTCTAACTCATCATTGAAAAATGTGTACATTTCTGTTTTGTAATAATATAAGTATGTTTATGTATATATGTATGTTTATGTATATATGTATGTTTATGTATATATGTATGTTTATGTATATATGTATGTTTATGTATATGTGTATGTTTATGTATATATTGTATTTATTTTGTTTTACTTATGATTATTCTTATATATTTTCTTATCATTTCTCTGCACTTTCTCTTTCTGTCCCGCTACTTGACACTATTTCCCACATGAATGGGTTGACTGGAAGAGATCTCTTATAGAGATAAGTCCACCTTTGTCCACGTCATTTTCTATGTATTTTTTTTTATTACATGTTTAGTGCAATAAAGAATATAATAATTAATTAATCAAGACAATATTGCACTATTTATGGGATAAGAGAAGCTGGTGCTCTCGACGAATCTCTCGAACACACTATTCTTAATAACAAGGTGTATTGTGTAGACGGTTATAAATGATGATAGCCAGTAGGGCTATAACATGAATCAGCAATAACCATTACAGCCAAAAGGTATAACAGTTCACTACCAAACTTCACAGGATCAGCCGCTGGGCTAATTTGAAGATTGCCCGAAAATTTCATCAAAACCGACGGATAGGACAAAATCATGTAAGAACTGTTAATAATATTATTCATTATACTATATATGATACATTTAATTAGGAAATAGCGACGACACGTTTGGCTCAATTTGTAGAGGCCCTACTTGTTGTACCAGTGGTCGCGGTTTCGAGTCCCGCTGGGAGTATTTATTTGTATTATGAGCACGAATGTTTGTGCTCCAGTTATGCGTGTTTATGTTTGTAACATGTATTTAAAGTTATATATGTGTATAAACTACCTGGTATCCATAACACAGGCCTCGTAGCCTACCATGAAACAAGGTGGTGCTGTGTGTTAATGTTCCAACATTATTGTGTATTTATTTTATTTAAATTTTTGGAAATATTATTCAATGTGCAACTTTAAACTCTTTATCCCTAAATGTTTTTGCTTATAAAATCTAGTCACAGTTTCTGACCTTGGATACTTCTTCTCTGTGACCTTTCATGACGACCAGCTCCTTGAAATCGGATTTAACATCATAAATTCTGGCAGAGCAGTCGCTTGAAGACGTCGCCATCCGTTGTCCGGCCCAGTCAAAACATATATCTAAAACCTGAGGAAATATTACAGGTGTTACGTTAATTTCTAATAAATTCAGTAACATGTTGGTTGGTTTTTAATCATTAGTAGTACTAATCAAATGTGACTTAATTTTAATTTTGACTTTATTATTGTAGGGAGCATGTACGGTTGCAGATCCGGTATTACGGTTGCCTCAGAGAACACTTAAAGCCATCGATATTGCGCGTAATCTCTTACCGGTGTCGAATCGTCGTTCTACCAAAGTAGGAGAGTGACAAGAATGGAAAGTATAATACTCTTGAGTATATGGCTATGGATTATGGCCTGATCCCCCTCGTATTGAAGGGAGGCCCGTGCCCAGCAGTGAGACGCTAAAAAGGGCTGAATACATATGGCAAGTCTCAACGCGATTGGCCATTGCCATAACAAAAAATCGGCCATGAGGACGTTAATATTTTATTTTTAATTATTACTTATCTTTTTTTATTTGTACTTGAACTTTAGATAAAAAAGAAGACGGAGTGGGTATTAGAGAAACAAACATAAAAAACAACATGATTTTCACCTCATCAGTATGTGAAGCAACAGTGGCCAAGCAAGAGCTGTTGCGAGCGTCCCACAGCCGCGCACTGCCGTCCAGCGACGCTGACCCGACGAGGGTACTATCCCAGTTGTATTGCACGTTCGATATCTCGCCCTCGTGCCCTCTTAGCACTGATACACGTCTATATAAACACGTATTACCTTTTTACATAATTAGGTGACAAAATTAGTTGTTTTAGTTGAAGCTTCTTTGAACTTTCGTTCTAAAGATCCTTTGGTAAGCTTTTACCCTATAAAGTCAGAACTTAGGTGTTGGTAAAATAATACAAAGTCGAAACGATGGATATTTCAAATGAAATAATATTAATGTATCAAATGTATGTAATCTTAATGATAATAATATAATTACTCTATCGGAATACTGTTTGTCGAGAAGATGTATCTGTAGACAAAATATAAAATCCGAGTGTTTTCAAAGTGTTTTACAAGTTCCTTAATAGGTAATAAGTATCCAAATATTTCATTTAAGATTTATTATGATAATTTTATTAAACTCCTGAAATAATAATCATAGCAATTATGAAAAATAACAATATAGCATCGAATTACTTATCATTTAATAATTACGTATATCTGCGTTTCAATCTACTAATAAATAAATTTACATACTCTTTTACTCTAGTATCCCACAAAGATATTGTTCCGTCAAAAGATCCAGTAATAAGCCTCTGGCCCTCGTTGGGGTCAAACTGCAAGGCGATCACTTCTGCTGTATGCCCTGCATAGGTTTGGATTTCAGCGCCTTAAAAATATAAGAGAAGACAAAATTTAAAGTGGTTCTGTATACAAATACGCCACTACTTTTTTGATCAATTGTGTACGCAAAGTCTATGTTCCTGCATAATGTAAAAAGTATACCTAAACTAGTTTTCGCGGAGTAGTCGATAATTCAACCATAGTAAATTCTTTAATTTTTTAAAATAGAATAAAACAATTATAAACCGAATTCCCCTAAGTATATTCATTATATCATTATAGGTCTCCAATTTTTTTTATTTTAACACTAAAGCTCGTCAATATCAACTAAACAAAAAATAAATAGATAAAAGAAAATCGGATGATGAAGAGAGGAGAAAAAGGAACTGAATTGTTATATCTTTGCTTATTTATATATATAGACTAGCGACTCACGATCGCTCCGTTCGGGTTCGATTAGTATAGATTTCTCAGCAATGAGAAATATTTCCGCGGTAAAAAGTATCCTATATGTTGACCCGGATAACCAGCTATCATTATACCAAATTTCATCAAAACCTGTCCAGTGATTTTCTCGTGATGTTTTCCCAGGTAGACAGACAGAGAGAGACAGACAAATATTCTAAAAACAATAGTTTCGGCCTCTATATCGATATTAATGATTATTTCAATAAGATTTTCCAAAAAATATTTAACGTACAGATTCGACTCGGTTAGAATTTAACTATATGTATAGATAGATACTGTATAGTTCTTATGCTACATTTCTACTTTTCATAACTTTACCAGTTCCAGCGTCAAAAAGCTTTGCAAGATAATCCATAGACCCTGTGGCTACAAGGTCTCCTTTGGCATTGAACTGAGCTGCAACAACTTCGCCAGTGTGCCCCCACAGCGTGGCGAGACACTGGCCCGTGTCTGGGTCCCAGATTTTAGCTGTTTTATCAAAGGACCCCGTCAACACACGATTGCTGTAAGGGTGGATAGGTTTACATAAGATTTGAATTGAGATTTGATTTGAGAGATACTTTAAGTGCTTTGCAGTTAGATGGTTATAACTTATAATAAAGACCAAATTAAAATAAAAAGTGTAAAAACCAACTCATTTATACTAAATGGGGACGAATACCTATCCCTTAATTGTCCCGAGGTTTCACAATTTTAACTCTGGCATTCTAAGAAATAGTAAGAAATTATTTTATTTTTTTCATTAATAATTGAATAACAGACTTTCGTCTGATGATAACATTATCTTCTTAAGGCACAAGAAAACAAACCATGTAGGGAAGTTAAATCCTACAGCATACACCACGTTCTGATGGCCGGTGAGCGTTTGTAGCTCTTTACCGCTTTCTACGTCCCACACCTTGCAACTCCTGTCATAGCTCCCAGATAGACATCTGTGAAGTTTTATTGTATTGCTTTTCATTAGTCACTAAGAAGCTACACCTACTTCGAAATTACTTTAAAAGTAATTATTTCACCATCTGAACCTTTTGTCCTGCCATTTCTATATTTATACTAGTGGTACCTACTTGTATATGTAGATATAGCATTTAAGGCAATAAAAATATTCTAGCATTATGGTGCCCTAAAATGCCATGTATCCGATATATTTGAAGGGAAATCACATTTGAAAACAATAACAAACATTAAACATAATGAAAGCGCTAAATACATACGTGTAAATAAGATAATTTTAAATAGTCTTCAAAAGTCATACGGTGATTTTCACCTCTAAATAGCTCAGAAACGTATTTTACGCGCTTTTAGGTATTAAGCTTCTTTTACTGAAATAAAAGTAGCCTAAGTTACTCCTTATAACATCAACTACCTGCCAGTTAAAGTCCCGTCAAAATCGGCCCACCCGTTTCGGACATTAGCCGGAACAAACAGACAGACAGACAAAAATAAAAATAAAAGTGTATTTTTTATAAATATGTACCGTATATAATTCCATATTATGCAATTAGTAAAAAGCTGTTATTTTAACATTACAAACGGACATTTTAATTTTATTTATCTGTATATATAGATTGACACATTAAAGCACTAAGATGTAACAAATAAACATAAACATAATAATAATTAATCCTATGTAAACATTTTTAAACCTGTTATTAAATTACCTGTTACCATTTTTATCAAAGCAGACATTGGTTAGTGGCAACACGTGCGTCTGCAAGGTTTTGTAAATGTAAAACCGTTTTCCTGTCGGGCCTTCATGTTCTATTCTCTTCTTGAGTGTCTCCAGACATCGTTCTAACTGCTCATATACTTCTTCAGTGATGAGCAGTTCCTTCTGGTACAGGCATTTGGCGATTTCTTTGATGTCAGAGCTGTTGATTATAAGGAAAATTTATAAAATTCAGTAAACTCAATCATTTTCTAACAAATTGAAGCTTATAAGTTCTATCAAAATTCTTTAGTAAATAGTTTATTTTTTAAATGTTTTACATTTCACTTGTTTTGGGTCGTTTTATTAGTATTATTTCTCGTGATGCCTAACCAGACTGACAAAAATTCTAAAAGCTTTTTTTTATTATATATATTTTATTTTTTTATCAAACTCGTTTTTGAACCCCCACAATCTAAATAAGTAACAATTACACATACACACACACCATTTATAATATTAGCAAAAACTATGATATAATATTGTACAAAATCCATAACTTACTTGGAATTTAGGTCTAACAGATCGATTTCCTTATTTTTTACGATCCCCTTTTGAATATACTCTAAAACAATACCAGGGGGGTGATATCTCAAGTGGAATTTTAATAACTTCATTGTTTTACTTATTTAAGTAAATCATATGTCATTTTTATGTTTATTTTCCTTTTAAAACTATTTTTTTAGTATTATTTTGTCAATAACGCGGTCGCCATGGTGAACGGGATAAGGAGGTCAAAACAGTTTTGACGTGAACCATACTAAGATAGGTACTATACTATGCATGTAAGAATCTATAAGATTGTTTTGAGAACTGTTCTTCTGTCTATCTATACATATAATAAAATTGTAAATAAGCCGAATCTGTACCTACATTAAATATTTTTTTGGAAAATCTTATTGAAATAAACATTATTATCGATACAGAGACCGAATATATAGTTTTTAGAATTTTTGTCTGTCTGTCGGACACGGAAAAACCACTTGAGGGATTTTGATGAAATTTGGTATGATGATAGCTGGTTATCCGGGTCAACATATAGGATACTTTTTAAGTTTTTACTGCGGGAAAATATCTCATCTCTGAGAAATCGATACTAAACGGCAAACCGTAAGTAGGGACGAACCCGAGCGAAGCGTGGGTGAGTCGCTATTAATTATATGTATATATAAGCATATAATAGCAAAAGGCAGTGGTAGCCCAGTGGTAACACGCTAGCTTGGGACACCGAGTGAAGCAGGGTTCAAATCCCGGGTCTCGCACCTCTGATATTTTCATGTGCGAATCATTTCTAACATGATTACCGCTTGCCTTACGGTGAAGGAAAACATCGTGAGGAAACCTGCATGTCTGAGAGAACTTAGCAAGTTTTCGAAAGACATGTGTAGTCCGCCAACCCGCACTTGGCCAGCGTGGTGGACTATGGCCTGATCCCCCCACGTATTGAAGAGAGGCCCGTGCCCAGCAGTGGGACGTTAAAAAGGGCTGAATACAAGCATAATATACTCTAATAGGACGGTAATGTAATGTAACATTACCGTGCTATTAGTCTTCAAATTGAAACAAAAGGCCAGATATTTCGACAAACTTTATTGGAATTTCGGACGACGATTTCTTGACGATACGTTTGGCTCAGTTTGTAGTGACCCTGCTTGCTGTGCCAGCGGTCGAGGGTTCGAGTCTCGCTTGTGGCATACATTTGTGTGATGAGCACGAATGTTTGTTTGTACTTCAGTCATGGATGTTTATTTTTAATAAGCATATTTTATAAAGCTCAGAATTTTTATTTACTCTCTATTATAATAGATATGGTTATAAATAGATTTTGTTTACATTGTACACAATATATTTGCAATATCCTGCGGTGTATTAAAACGGCGGAAAGACATGTGTGCAAGCACTATTGAGTTACTAAATACCTATGTTAGTACGTATTGTGGTTTTATATTGAACAAAAAACTACTAGAAGTAGCGCTGTGCAAAAATCTAATAAATCACTTTCGGTCCATATTCAAAAAGTTTCTGAAACCAAGTGCCAAATGCTAACCAACTGATCCTTCCGGTCAACTGGTATTCGATTTTAATGAGATTTTTACTAGTTGATAGGGATTCAGACGAGAGTGGATAGTATACTCTTTTTATCCCGTAAAAAATATAAAAGGGGCTTAAAAATTTAAGTCGACATTCAGTGGAGGCAAGGGTAGTCCAAAGTTAACGCGCTAGCTTGGAAAACCGAGTGAAGCGGGTTCAAACCCCGGGTCTCTTCCTCTGATATTTTCATGTTCGAATCATTTCCAACATGATTACTAGTTTTATTACGGTGAAGGAAAATATTGTGATGTAATCTGCATGCAACCTGCTGAATTTAGTAAGTTTTCGAAAGACATATGAAGTCCACCAACCCGCGTTGGCCAGCGTGGTAGACTATGGTCTGACACCCCTCATATTGAAGGGAGGCCCTAGCCCAGTAGTGGGACTTTGAAAAGGGCTGAACACAGACTTTCATTGGTCGAAAAAGATTTCTGTTAAGAGTGTCATAAGCTTTTTTTATCAATTTTCATGGTAAGTCGTTAATAGTATAATATTTTCCTACGTACTTATTCAGTATATTTGTATAAACGTAGCTGATTAAATTTTCTTAATGCTTATTATAAATAAATATCATCTATCATTGGTATACTTCTAAACCAGCGACTAGATCCAAACAAAGAGGTGTTCTAGTTTTTGTCATGGCACATTTACAGCGTGGAATGGTGTCATAGGTGCTTTCTTTGGACCTGGACCACACATTGCAGTCATTGAAATGGGAAATTATAGGAATTAATATAGGTTTATTATTTACTCGTATTTATAAGTATGCCGTTTTATTTAAGAAACAACATGTACCTATAAACTACACGTCCAAGCGTCGTTCCAGCATAATAACCTTGTAATTCTACGGGAGTTTTAAACTGAAAATATCTTAAATGTGAGACACAACACATTGGTTATTTTTATTTATTTTAAAATGTTCTTTCGACGAAGTAAGTAGTGATACAAATCATTGATTTAGCGATAAAATCCGTCATTACTACCGTCAAAATAAACTATGCAAGGATAAAACTTCAGATTTTTGGTCGCCTTTAGCAGGAAATAAACAAAAAAGACACATAGTTCAACACACATATATTCTGGTTAAGGCTTCCTTATAAAGAAAAACATTTTAAAATCAATTTTTAAGGTGCATTTTCTAAGAAACCTGGTACCCTCAAGAACATAAAGCAACAAAGAAATGCCCCAGATCATGCATCCCGCGGCATGTTTACTTTGCGGTGGAATGGTGCTACTCAGAACACAGACTCTATCGGGACGTGGAAATGGTATCAATTATAATATTACATGTGTAGAAATTTACATACATATCATACTCTAATATATCTATTTGTGGTATGTCTTGTATAATAAATTTTGTATAATGTTAGATGTTTTTAATTAGATTTTTCAAATATTTATTTATGTTTGAGTTTGCCTCAAGAGTTTTCTCAGTCAGGCAATTTTTTTGTGCGTTTTGGTTAGAACTAAGTTGTTATGGTTCTAGTAAGCGAGTGTCTTACTCTTCTGAACAATCTTGTACTGAAATAATTTTTGGATTATTGTTTAACTTTTTTAATAAAACAAAAATAGTATTGGTAATGTTAGATAGTAAGAAAAGAAGGTTTTTTAGAGGCAAAGGGACTGGAAAAGTTAAGTAACGTGTTGTAAGTTTGTAACTTTTTTTTGCTTTAAGTCTCAATGTCATGTCTCCTTCATTACCTTAAAATATTTTAAAATATATTTAAACTCCCCATGACTGATTACATTCAAAATAGCAATCTGCTAGAACAGGGAAACGTGGTGCAAAAAAAGTATATAATGTCCTTTGTACGATCAACAGTGAACGGACGAAGACTTTCGATTGATATAATCTGCTCCTCCAGTTTTTCTGTGATGCGGTAACAGACAGACAGACAGACAAAAATTCTAAAAACTATAGATTCGGCCTCTGTATTGATAATAATGTTTATTTCAATAAGATTTTCCAAAAAAATATTTAATGTACAGATTCGGCTTAGTTACAATTTTATTATATGTATAGAAAAACATTTTTAATTCTCAATTCTCGAATCTTATCTCGTAGCGTTATGCCCGATAGTTTCAGAACCGTCACAGAAATGGGTCGAGAGGCCAAATTATTTATTATTATAATTTCCAATTAATTAATATCAGTGAGCTATGATAGGTCAGTTTGTTAGTTCATGCTATTGTTAATATTATATGTACACGTGTAATGTTTGACGCGTGTCACTTCTTCATCAATAGTAATTCTAGGTGAAAGCTTTTCAGTCCTTGCCCTGTATCTATATATATACGGGTCATTCATTCATATTTTGTTCTATCTACTATATATATAGGGTATATTTTATCATGATTAGAATTTTTTAACATTCACTAACAGATTATTATGACTCAAAGTAAAAGATATTATTATACTTACACGGAATTTCACAAAGACAGTGTCATATAAGTAAAAAGAAGCCAAACATAGTTTTAAAATAAAAATATTAATGGAATATTTATTACATTGACGAGGAAGTAGTATTTTTTATTGTTCATATTTCTTTTCAAAAATTGTAAATTAATAACTATAATATAAATTTTCACTTATCCTTTGAAGAAAGTAAAAAGTAAATGGTAACAAAAATCACGCTACTATTCTTGAATTTGACATATTTTTTCGGCGGGCTTCGTCTTCTTTAGTCTGAGACTTATATATTTAGATATTTGATAACTATATTATGAATAATTAAAATTAGCTTTTAGCTTTATTTTAACGTGTCATTGCTGGACATGGATCATGTAATATTCCACTAAGTGTAGGTTAGTGGATTTCGCATGTTTTTCGAGCTAGGTGCTTTCAGATAGGTAGGTTTTCTCACGATTTGTTTGCGAGTTTTTCAGTAATGTGAGTGTGGTAATTGCGTTATAAATCGCTAGCCCACAAAAATACATGTAGTCTGAGAGCCAAGATTTGAATCTGCTTCATTTAGATTTCCAAACAAGCTCGTTATTACTGCATTTAAAAAAAAACTGCAATGACTTAAATCGAGTTAAAAAAGAGTTAAAGATTAGACCTAATTTTTAACAATATTAAGCATACATTTTTAAACGTGAACTGAAGTACAAATAACGAAATAATTATACGTTGACACGGATAACCAGGAATCATTATACTAAATTTTATCAAAATCTATCCAGTGGTTTTCTCGTGATACGTTCCGACAGACAGACATACAGACCAACAAACAATTTTTAAAAAAAACTATAGATTCGGCCTCTATATAGATAATAATATGTACAGTTTAGACTATGTATAGATTATAAGAACAAACATATATTCTTTAACCCTTTTTTTATGGTATTCAGTGACAAACGAGCAGACAGCCCACCTGATGAAAAACGGTACATGTCGCCCGTAACACCTACGGTTCATGCACTTAGGTTTTATGTTACAAAAATGCAGAACCGCAGGTGCGTTGTGACTGTGAGGACTAAGATGATGTGCATCTTGCGTGTAATTGATCTCTTTCGATTTCTTCTTAGATATTGTTGCTTGGCGGCAGAAATGGATAAGGGGGTGGTACCCATCCAGTCGGACTCCTCAGGCTTGACAGACTCCTACCACCGGTAAAACCCGTAACATACTTAGTAAATATATGATTTAAAATAAAAGTTTGTGGCGTATACCTTGTATAAATTTTTTATGTTGATCATTTATTCTATAAACAATTTAGTTTGAATTTCGTACTTAAGCATAGATACAACATGAACATTGCGAGTAATAACTGAACTCCGGTTTCTCCGGAATTTAAGTTGTAACATAGAATTGTTGATAAAATTAAAAATTAAAATGGCTAAACTTTTAATTTATAAAAATTATCGTGAGTTATTTTTATCTTCATTTACAATTTTAATATGAATCTTTATAAAGCTGGTTTATACTGTTATTAAAAAAATGTAAACATTTAGGAAATCTTACAGATTTAGTAGAACCTAGCGACTTACCCTTACTTCGCTCGAATGCGTTCTGGGTCCGTTTTAATTTTTGTGGGCGGGACCCTAATTCATTTTTCAAAAATAAAAGTATTAATTTACTCCATATAACATCAGCTATCTGCTAGTGAAAGTTCTGTCAAAATCAGTTCAGCCGTTTCGGAGATTAGCCGGAGCAAACGCACAGACAAAAATAAAAATTGTGTGTTTCTTATAAATCACCTATATAATTTCATATGCATTTCAATTCAATTTTATGTAATGGCTTTAATTCGTACCAGTTGATCACAAATTATTTCGTCAATGTCACGTTGAATGCAGAAGATTCATATATGCATTTACTAAAAAGCTGTTATTTTGACATTACAAACAGACACTTCAATTTTATTATCTATATTGTGAAAGAAGGGTAGGTTCAATACCAAGAACCTTTTATCAGGATTTTTTTATTGAAGCTTAGTTTAGAACGACATTCATAGGTCTTCGTAATGAAGACTTAGCAAAGTATTTCAACACTTAGGCATAGTACTAGGTTGCAATAAAGCTTCTTCAAAGGGTTAAGTCGTCACGCGTCAAAAATGTTGCAATGCTTCATAAAGGAGTGCAATAAAATGTGTGGTCATAAGGACAATTACTACAGTGACTAAAATTCTTTTACTTAAAAATGCTATTGTCATAGACGGAAGTGGTTATTTAATTGATAATAATATATATTAATATTATAAAGAGATTTTTTTGTGTATGTTTGTTTGTAATAGATAAACTAAAAATCCGCTGAACCGATTTAGATGAAATTTGGTATGAAGATAGTTCGAGACCCTGGGAAGGACATAGGATATGTTTTATCAAAGAAATTGCCACTAATTAATCTAATAAATAACAGTTATTGTGATCAAAACTTAATTAAATTCTAGAACAATTTTTATTTCTTTCACACCACGATGACTCATTTTAAAATAGAGTTCATTGTATATGTATATAATTAATGAATATTCATTATGACACTACCTTAGCTAAGAATAAACTATAAACTTTTTTCTGGGCAACGGAGCGTAAAAATCCATATTTTCCCTGCAATTTGAGCCACCCTACATATCCGGTCAAACAGGTTGTCGCGGTCCTTGACCAGTGTAGTGTTTACTAGTCATTGTATCGATATTATCCTTTCAGTTATCGATATTTAATCAATATTCTCGATATTAATGCATTTTCTTTAATTATTTTACTTTTTCAACTCAAAATTAATTTAGTTAATTATTAGTGGTAGATTCCTCACGAACTGTCTACACTGACATTTAATTTAAATTTAAAATGTAAAATTTACGATTCAAAAACGATTCAAAAGAGCTTGTAAAAGTCTATTTGAATAAAGTATATGTTGGTTTGATTGATTTGATTTATTATCAAAAATATAATTTAGCCATAACAAACATTATAATATATTATTATGCAATTTGTTTTTCCTATCAGACTTAAGATTAAATACCGAATCTACGAACGAATAGAACCTACCGCTCTTTATATCGGAAAATACGTACGTGCATAATAAAACTCACGTGATATTTTATGAATGTAGCGTGAATATATGTTTCTTGATATCAACGAAATTATGAAATGATTGTCTTGATATCTCACTAATTAGTAATTAGTAGTTTAATTAGTTGATTATCTTACATTATTTATATGCGTTTACGATATTTGTTAAATCTTAACAATAATGAGATATATTACTTCTGCGTGTGACTGCACCGTTAGGTTTAAGTTCCCGGGACACGAGGACAGTTCTCCGGTATAAGAAACCGTACTGATTGGAGAGGTAACGACTTATTAGAACTTCTTAGTAATAATAAAGAGCTTAATATTTGTATGTGTATTTAGTATTTTGCACACTTTAGTTTTATATTAATAAAATAAAATAATAAATATACCAAACCCTAATATTATTATTTTTTAATTTTTGTTGTTGTTTCTAAAACTATTTTTCTTACATATTATATTAATCAGTGCAAAATAATCGATATCAAAAATTAATATCGATACAATGAGTTACGTTATCAACTAATTTGCGGTACAACACTGCGCGCGCGCTAGTTTACCGCGCGACAGGTGAAGTGGCGCACGTTTCGTAAAATTTAAAATTGCATTACGCCGCTTGCGCAATTTACTTTTACTTTAGTTTATGTAATGTGCCGTGTTTATGTGATATTGGATTACTTAAGGATGAAATAGTGGATCGTAGATCAAGGTATCTGTAGCCAGAATAAAATAATAAAAAAAAATACTTTACTTAAAAAATTTCTTTACTGAATATAATTATTTAATTTATTGACAGTAATAAAATTATTTATTATGATATATGATAGCAATAGCTGATAATATTCATTTAAGTTCACTTGTGCAAAATATGGTTATTAATAAAATAATTATAATATTTTAAGAGAATATTCATATTATGTATGTAAATAAAAGCCTGGGTATTTTATAGTGGCTAGTATTACGAATATCCGCGATATAATCATATAAATGCATGTATAACTGTAATAACTTGTTAGGCGACTTAATTTTATTGTGAGAGCAATGTGTTTCCAAGCAACGTTTGGCCAGTTTGGAATATATTAACATAAAACATGAAAAACTTAGCTAAATATTACGGTAAATATTTCTTTTACTGTATTATGTAAGAATAAGTACTTATATTATTTCAAGAATAAAAAATGAAACATACTAACCAAGTTTCTTATAATATATACAAATATATACAAAATGTATATTTAAATAAAAACATTATTTTTACACATTATCACGAAGAGATTTATTTTGTTTGTATGTTTGTTTGTAATCTGGCAGCTCTATGAACATAATATTTAAACTATGTTTTGTTATAGCATACTACATCTATACTAATAGGTATAATAAAGAAGTAAAGTGTGTGAGTTTGTGACGTTGTGGGGGGTCATCTCTGTATCTAGTGAACCGATTTAGATGAAATTTGGTAAGTTTTTATCCCGGAAATCATCCCTTAAGGGGGTGAAAATGAGGATAAAAGTTTGTATGGGGAATTAACCTAGGGACAAACCCGAGCGAAGCGAGGGTGAGTCGCTACTAAGTATATATGTACACTGTATAGTATTTTTCAAGCTGTAACTAATTGTAAGTGGTGACTTCACAAGGTTTGTTAGTAGTAATTTAAATATGGAAGAATAAAAGGTTAACAAAATAATAATGAAAACCGACTACAAAAAAAATTCGGTGGTGACACACGGACAGACAGACGGACAGGAGAGTGATCTCATAAGGGTTCCTTTTTTTACCTTTTGAGGTACGGAACCCTAAAAACAATAAAAATTAAAAAGTAAATAATAACTGATTGGTAGTTTTTATTTACTATAAGTCCTTGGAGAGATTTGCATTTTATTTGGTTTAACCGACTTTACAAATGGATGTGGTACGTAGCTTGGTATAAATCGATTTTCGTTTAGCTTCTTCTGAATCATTCTAAAGTTTTAAGGGTGGATCGATTATTTTTAAGTTGATTTTGAAGTCAATTTACTACTTAAGGAAAACGTAAATAATGTACTAAACAAAATTTAGGGATTTGGTTTTAAGTAAATATTAGGTGATAAAAACTTTATAAATTATAAATATTTTATAGGTTACTCATAGGAAAAACTAAAACAAATCTATCCCACGCAAACTGTATATTTTTTCGGGATGAAAGTAGCCCATTTGTTATTCTGATGTACGAGCTATATTATTGTAAAGTTTCATTAAAATCAATTCAGTAGTGTTCACGTGAAAGAGTAACAAACATCCAGAGTTCCATACATCCTCATAAACTTTCGCATTTTTAATATTAGTAGTATTTCTTTATTACTACATATGTACAAATTACATATAATATTGGTATAAAGAAAAATCATGCGGAAGAATAAATAATGGCATCGACTTCTACAATAGTAACCTTCGATATATATTTGCATTCAAACGATTCGCAATTAACTAAACTATTAACAAGTAACTTGAAAAATTATAAGTAAGGTTTTAACCTAATTTAATTAGGTATTTATTTAATTAACCCAAGGAATTACTCACTAGCGATTATTCGCTTCGCCTCCACCCTCACTACATACACTGCGCAAAAAGACTCAAGAATTTCTTTTTTAGCTTATCTTTCAGTTTTTTTAACATGCCACTGCTGGGCCAGACTTTGTTAGCTTTGGAACTAGTAACGCTAGTGGTAAATATTTTGAAAATGATTTGCTAATGAAAATGTTAGAGATATAAATTCTAGGTGGAATTGAACCCGCTGACTTGGTTTTTAGGTTTCCGTACCTCAAAATATATAGAAGAATATAGATAATATATAATAATAAGATCACTCACTTGTCCGTCTGTCTGTCTGTCCGTGTGTCACCACCGATTTTCTCAAGAACGGGTGGACCTAGCAAGTTGAAATTTGTACTAGATACTTAGGTTTATAGTCTCTATTAGATGTAAAAAAATCGAGTTCAACACGATAAAGAGATTGGGCAAATTGAGATTTTCGCGAAAACTTGTAAGTATTAAAATTTACCTTAATTATCTATTTTTTTATTTTTCGGAATTTTTCCTTTACTTGTGTCGAAAACCTATATGGTAGTTCCCTTTGATCTAAAATCACGAACTTTGGTAAAAAGCGAGGTCTTACAGCATAAATAAAGAAAAAAATCCAAAAAATAAAATAGTTGAAAATTAAAGTTAAACAGATTTCCTACAAAGTACGGAACCCTCGGTGGGCGAGTCCGACTCGCACGTGTTTAGTTCGGATTTTTTCAAGTACATACCTTTCTTTGAGATGTCCATGTTGCTTTCAATCGATTCCTCTACACGTTGTAAAAATCCCATTAATATAGTTCAGTCGTTCTGAAGATTAGATGATACAGACGTATAGACAGAAAAAATACATTAGAGTATCGTGCAAATTACTGTATATTTCACATTATAAGTTAACATAGCAAGCATAGGATAGCGAGCTTCGCTCGCGTTCGTCCCTACATGATTCTTTCAATTGACATAACATTTATATTTATGAACCGATTGAAATAAAACATATACTAAATGTAATTGAAGCTTACCATACTTAATACATTAGTGAAAACCGCATCCAAATCGGTTTAGCCGTTTCTGAGATTAGCACAAGCACAGCAGCGTACAAACGCACAGACAAACACAAACAGACAAATATTCTAAAAAATATTGTTTTGGGTACTATTGCGTTAATAAAAACTTCCAATAATAAATTTTCTCAAATATCTTCCATGTACAGACAGCGATCAGTTACAATTTTATTATATGTATAGATTACATACTATACAGATAAGTTACTTTTATTTATACCCTATTGATATAAACATGTATTTACTTATAAACTCGATTGACCATTCTCATAAAGCTGCTCTCGACAATAGTCATGGGAACTAGCACGTCCACGCCTTTCTATTTAATTGGATACTGTGCAGTGTGCAGTCATACAACGCGTCATTGAACAGACTTTATACTAATAGTATGATTTTTGTATAAGTATAAAATACTAGTGACTAAACCCAGCTTTTCTTTGATTTCTTAATTTTCCCCTTTTCGAATAAGAAATCGAACAAATGTGTAATTATCTATACAAATAAATAAAACTGAAGTGTCTATTTGTAATGTCAAAAAAGCAACTTTTACTTAATGTCTATAAAATAATATAAGAAAAAAAAATATTTTTATGATTTTTGTCTGTCTGTCTGTTCCGGCTAATCTCCGAAACGGTTTGACCGATTTTGATAGGACTTTCACTGGAAGATAGCTGATGTTATAAGAAGTAACATAGGCTACTTTCTATGTTAGAAAAAGAATAAGAGCTCCGCGCAAGAAAATTGAAACCCGCAAAAAAATTTAATTGTGTTCAAAATTCGTACACCTAGGGACACAGTACACAGACACAGAGGGTAAGTCGCTAGTTTGTAATATACAGGACTCATTTAAAAGGAATCAAATGAGTCCAAATTTATAAGTAGTTTTTTAAATTTTACTATCACCTGACTCCATCGTCAGATCAGCTTCATGGTATCAAATGATTGGATTCGAATTTCACATACCTATATATAAAGTTTCAAATCGGTACTAGGCACCTACTATTAAGTTTTTCAGTTAAAATTGACTTTTTAATAAAACTACCTTTTTAGATTTCTTATTTTGATTTTTGGTTCCAAACGTTACGAATGTTTTACAGGAATCATGATCACAGGAGAGACTGGAGAGTCTTATTTAAAATATAAAATATTCGCATAAATCTAAGAATGCATTATGAAAAATTGTGTTCCGAAAAGGTTGTGTATAGTCAAGTTAATAAAATTAATATAAAAAAAAAACATTTTTAAAAACAAGCTTTCATGTCATATAAATATGTGTAGTCTAATAAATTGAGGGGTTGAGTTTTTTATTTTTTAGTTATTTATTCGTATTCTTTTTGGGAAACTGAGCAAACCATTTCATTTGATATCCATATCATGGGAGTGCATAAAATAAACATAATATTCCGCCATCTTTGGGAGTCCACCATATTGGATTTCGAATGACGTCACTTAGCTAACCATGCATTGTCATCCAAACTAAATGTGTATACAAAATTTCAGCTCAATCAGTTGAGGATAACTGCTTTAAAATTCAGTTGCATAATTTAACCCGAACAAACATACATACAAACATTTTAAGTTTAATAAAAGCTTTAAATATATTTTTTTACTTAAATTAAGCATATCTTATTTATTTACAATGAAGAAAATTACAAATATACTTAATTATACATATACAAAACAAATGTACACTTAATTATTACTGTACAAGTCATGCCCGCGTGGAATAGTTGCAAGCTGTATTCCCCCGTTGAATGGCAATGCCGATTCTTTGGGCTTAAGTTAAAGCTTTAATAAAAACGTATTACATATAAAACGATACATTAAAATCACATATATTAGCTTAAGCGTGTCAAATTTTAACCTCGTGAACCCCGTAATTTCTTTTGCATCGCGTAAAGATTAAAGTGTAATATATGCATGAAGCGAATGACATGCATTTATTCATGGTTATAACGAGATGTAAGCCAATTTGCCTGTATGGAATAAGTCACCTTCGCTTTACATGATTTTGCTTAAAGCCTTTTGCTACATTTTACTCCTTAACAAAATAAAATAAAGATATAACTTACTGTTAGTCGTTAAATATCTGTTCATTTCCTAAATTTCTTTTTTTCTGTCTGCTTGTTCGATATCTCTTTCTAGAAAGTTGGTGTATTAATTATAATGTAATTGTCCATAAAGATAGCTCCTGCTTTTTCTATCTAGGAAATCCACGTGAAACGATTGTGTATCCGTGGGAAGAAGTCCGTTTATGTTATAACTAGCAGCTCACCTTCGTTTCGCTTGGGTTCGACTCTTGATCTATCCCACGGGAACCGTACATTTTCCAGAATAAAAGTAGCCTATGGTTATTCTGATGTATGAACTATATTATTGTAAAGTTTCATCAAAATCCATTCAGTAGTTTTTGCTTAACATCCATATCTATTTATCCAGACCTCTATACATTCTCACAAACTTCCACATTTATAATATTAGTAGGATGGTAATGATAGTTTTCAATATGATTTAATTAACAACAGTTTATCTTTTCAAATGTTCGACTGTACCAATTGGATTTGTGAATATTTTTTGCATTTTATAATCCTATTTTTAAGGAAAGTATTTTTTTAAACATAAACTCGTATGACCTTTCGTAGTGGAGAAATTAAAAATTAATTCTCAGGCAAAATCTAAACTTCCCAACTCCGGGCTGTTGCTGCTGTAGTTACTGAGAATATCTTAACAGAACAATTCAGTAATTTATCTTGTCCCGACCCAGGACTCGAACCCGTCCTGGGTCGATCGTCCTTGGGATCTGCTGTACATGTTAGCCACAAGACCACCGGGGCAGTTGTGTTTATAGTAATAAATTTTGAATAAAAGAATATTATTATTTTTGAAATAAATAAATTAAACTGACCCTTGTTAACATGAGCTCGTCTAATATTTTGATAAAAGTAAAAAAAATATGAAAATTAGCTTTCATTATAAAACGACATCTTTGTAGATGACATTGTAGAACAATCGTCATGTCGGCGAGATGAAGCCAATATTTATCTAAGAAAATAATTTGTTACAGATTACAATGTCACCGGATGTTGGAGGCTGTGTTAATAAGGCCTTCGAGGGGGTCGACGATGGTTTTCACACCATTGACCTTCGCACTAGGAGAGATGATGGTGACAGGGTATGTTTCATCATTCAATACTATCTTTACTAAATAGTCTGACTTATGCACATCATGAGTGTTTCTCTGCACGTCGAGGTTCGAATCTTGAGTTGGGTCAAAGAGGTTTTTATATATTAATTCTCAGTAGAAAAGGGTTTCTTCCATGTCAGAGCTATCCTATTGGCCTATGAGAGCTAACACTTGTGTCCTATAGTTTATAATATCATTCGCAAAAATGGCAAGTCGCAATGAGATTGGATTCGCTAGGATCATGTATAACTTGAATTTTTCTACTTGGGAAATGTTTTGCATTAGCACATTCGAATTGGACCTGTTTTATACGTAAGCACGTCCTAAAGGAATCTAAACTTCGTATATTTTGATTTAGAGTTTTATAAATTGTTTCTAATAATTTTCGTTTATAATTTTAATTGTATGTACTCGTATGTATAATTAGATTATGTTTAACTTGAATTTCTCTCCTTGGGATATGTTTTGCATTAGCACGTTCGAATTGAATGCTTGCGTGGGATTAAATTATGTTGATAGTGTACTGTACCGTATAAATATTGAACTCGCACTGTATAGATATTGAGATAAGGCTTATAGTAGGTTTAAGAATATATAAAAATAGCTTCTTAAAGATAGTAAGAGTATAAACCTATTTACTATTGAAGTTTACTTGTTCTTAAGCAGTTTTTTAAATAATCTTTTAAGTACGCATGATAGCTTAATTTTCTATTTACTTTGATTTTTTATCTTTCAATTACGTATTTTATCTTATACTAGCGATTCACTCTCGCTTCGCGCGGGTTCTTCTCTACGTTTTGACGGTTAGTATAGATTTCTCAGAGATATTTTCCCGCAGTAAAAAGTATCCTAAATGTTGACCTGAATATCTCATACTATCCTAATAATCATGCTAAATTTCATCAAAATCTGTCCTGTGGTTTTCACAGACATTTCAGACAGACAGACAGACAAAATTTCAAAAAACTATATATATGGTCTCTGTATCGATATTAATGACAGTTTCAATAAGATTTTCCAAAAAATATTTAATGTACAGATTCTTCTCAGTTAGAATTTTATTGTATGTATAGATTGTAAAAAAATTCTATCTAAACGTGTCATATTATATTTTATTGTTATTATTAATATATATTTATTAATTATCGGTTATCGGTAGGTTTTCCCTCCAAAATATGTCGCCTTTAATTTGCTTCGGATGTATTAGACTCACGTCAAGTTCGCACGTGCGCAGAACGCCGGCACAGAATACAAATTATACAGAGAACTCATTTCACTTTTGCCATGTTTTATAATTTATTAATCGAATTCACAATTATTAGTTATATTATATTATACAGTTATTTATAATTGAAAATTGTCATGTTTAAATAGGTACATCAGTCATTTTCGTATTATAATATTCCTAAAAAGGTCATAAACTATACCATACCTAGGTTTTAAAAAATCAGTTTCTGTTATTTTAGTAGTTTTTATTATATTAATCTATTTTTAATTTACTAGCGACTTAGCCTCGATTCGCTCGGGTCCTTCTCTATGTGATTCTTTAAATTGACATAACTCTTTTATTTATGAATCGATTGAAATAAAACAAATACTAAATGTTAGGTGAAGCTTACCACAATATATTAGTGAAAATTGCATCCAAGTCGTTTCTGAGAATAGCACGCACAAATGCACAGACACACAGACAAAAAATCTAAAAATCATTGTTTTGGGTTCTATTGCGTTATTAAAGACCCTCAATAATATATTTTCTCAAATATCTTCCATGTACAGACAGCGATCAGTTACAATTTTATTATATTATATATATAGACGTTTTGATATTGGCACATAATATTTTTACATTCCAATATTAGCACATTTAATATTTTTTTTTGGTTAACCGTTTAAACGAATAACAGAGCTGTGTTGAAAGTAAATCAAGTGAAATTAATCGATTTGACAAAGTTTTATAAAATTTATTACGGTCACAAGTTCTTACGATAAAATTATTGCTGATATGCAGATTTGCACTGTGCAACTTAAAATTCGTATGTTATTAAAAAAAATACAATAATATCAGTATTTGATAGCAGATGGTATATTTAATCTATAATAATCTCTGTTCATTTATAATCTTTGGTCTCCATGTTTATATACAGTAGCGGGTTACTAAAACCCTCAGTTTCCCGCGTGGGACCGACCCGGTAGAGACGCTACGCTGCTCTCCTTTTAAATCGAAACTTTTCTCGTAATTGTCAGAATCTGTTTGTGATAAGAATGTTTTAATTTTTTTATTAACTTGGAAGATTCTTTGGATCTAAAAAATGGTATTTAATTATTTCTATTATTATTAATATTTTATATACATTTTGATTACGGAACTATTTTATTAAAAATACGTATATGTATATATATTTTTCTCGCATACAATTTAACGGTTACATTGAAAATGAAAATTGAAAATATAATACTGAAATTTCTTAATACATTACGGTCGATTGAAAGCGTTACGAATGGAAAAAATATTACGCGTATAAGTATTTAAACTAGTGTTCGTTCAGTGGTCCGAAATTTGATCATAATCATTATTGAAAATTTATAAATAACTAGCTAATTATTCTCGCTTCGCCCGGGTGCGTCACTAGGTGTGTTTTATATAGATATAAATAGTTATTAGCCAGCGTTAGCTATGTAATTTTTTTTCGTGAATTTTCCGTTGTTTTAATAGTTATTCTGCTATTCGAGACGGAGAAAAATCCAACAAATCAAAGATCTTAAAGATCGGTCCAGCCGTTCTTGAATTATATATAAATGGTATAACTAACCCGACTTTGTTTTATATATATATCTGTTTAATAGTTAACCCGTCTATATTAAAAGAGAGACAATTGCTTCCAAAATATTTTTAATTATAACACTAAAGCTTGTCAATAGTTAGTAACGGAAAAATAGGTTAAAAATCAGAATAGATAACTGCTTTGTCTTTGCTAATTTACAGTATTTACAGTACCTGGGTGACCGAGCTTCGCTCGAGATTTTTTTGATATAATAGAGTTTTTTTTTAGAAATACCACCTATATAGATAAGTTTAAAAAGCAAAACTTTATCTAAATGCAAAATTTGATCAATATCGTTAGAGTTGTTTCCGAGATTCACAAATTAAAATTATATATAATATACAAGAAATGCTATTTTAATATTATAAGATACGTAGGTATATATTATGTACATATGTACACAGGTGAAACACTTGATTAAATAATATAATACCTAAGTCTCTACTTAAAATTTGAGATGAAATTTGAATATTTATTAGTTTTTCGATTTAAATCACTAATAAAATGTCTAAGCTTATTACTACTTACTTACTATATGTATAGACACTAATATGCAACAATAACAACTTAGTACTTTTTTTAATTTCCACAGCGGCCCGAAAAGATCTAACTAAAGACCTAGATCTTTTAGGTACATTCATCTTTTAAAGTTTTTTTTATTTTAATTTTTAATTTTCATTTATCAAAAAAACGTTGTTTTTAAATAAAATATTTTTCACACATACGATAGACTACGGTTATAAGTTTAGTTATTAAAAAAAAGTAATTGTTTAATTTGTCCCATACAAAATATATGTTTAAAGCTGACATCGAACCCAAGGCAACCATATCCGACACCAGTACCATACCATAGACTACTGTCTTCTAAAGCAACATAAGTAATTATTTATGCAGATAATTTTAGTTTGAAGGCTGTAGGCGTAAAGTCATCGCACCGCAGGTCAAACACTTAGGTTCTTACAAATGAACTCAATTATTTACATTATATTGCCTACAATCTTCTATATAATAATTGATATTGATTACATTTCTATATTCGAGAACATGAACTTTCCAACAAAGGTATAGACTAAAGACTTTTATAACCGACTTTAAATGGAAGAGAAAGTTCTCAATTTTTTTTGTTTTTTTTTTTTTTTTTTTTTAAATTATGAATCGCTTTTTATGATTGTTTTTGGGTGAGTGGTTAAAATTTCTAGAAAAAGTAATTTTTTTAAGGTTGAAACTAAACATGGAAGGTTATTTTGGGCTGGGTGTATTTTTTAAATTATAAATTTATTATAATTTATATTAAAAATGTGCTTACATTTATACAAATGTACGTCTAAAGTTATATGTACAAATTGTGAGATATTATAGTTTTCTATAAGTAAATAATCTTTTACAGTTGATTCAGTAGTTAGAGGTTATACCCAATATACAAACAAACATCTTATACCTCCTGAAGATACTGTAAGATAATGAAGTCATTCTAGCATCATTACAGCCACTAAAATCCTATAATTCTCGTGAAAGCATCCTCGACACTGGCTATTTGCGAGATTATTTCGGCCATATTTTGAACAGGTAAATGGCTAAATATGACAAAGTAACCTCTGTTATGATATAATGTAAATAAGTAAAATATTTTATTTATTTTGTACTAAGCTACGTCTTGATATTGAAAAAACCTAATAAATATAAACATCGGTTATTTTAATAAGTAGCGCATACAATATTTATACCAAAAGGCTAGCGACTCACCATCGCTTCGCTTCGGTTCGTCCCTAGATTCCCCATATTAACTATCATTCCCATTTTCACCCACTTAAAGGATGATTTCCGGGATATAAACTATCCTATATCCTTCCCGGGATCGCAAACTATCATCTTACCAAACATCTAAATCGGTTTAGTAATTCCAGAGATTACTTCCTACAAACAAACACACAAACATACAAACTTTACCTCTTCATAATATTAGTATTAGATTAAGACGTTTAGTTTCATTGGCGACTTCAACCCGAACATTCACACTCGTACACTATAATCACGCTCCTTCTAACTCTGTCACGTTTCTTCACTCAAATCAATGGCTCTACAATTTCGATACATAGATACAATAGCGTAGCCATATTTTTATCATATTCAAATAGCCAGACTAGTTTTTCTATAGCACTTTTGCGTACTTACTTTAGGTGATCTAGAATATTTATTT